AGATCTGATTTATCTGTACGTCGTATCGAATGTGTATGGAAGGAACTTGATATAAACAGTCGTAAACTTCTTCTAGGTGGTATTTATAGACCCCCAGACTCTAACAATCAGCATTGGCTTCTTCTTGAACAGTGTATAGATCAAGCATTTTCCGAGAGATCTAACAATATCCTGATTGCTGGCGATTTTAACATAAATCTTCTAAATTCTAATTCAAACAAACTGTCTAATCTTATAGCCTCTTACAATGCATAACAACTTATTACTACACCAACCCACTTTACAGAAAGCTCTTGCTCATTACTCGATGTAATGTTTGTTAAGAACACAAATTATATCTTAACAAGTTTTGTTGCAGACCCATTTATTCCAGATGTTATTCGTTATTATTGTCCAATCGTATCAGTAATGAAATTTTTGAAACCAAAGGGTACCACATACAAACGCAAAATATGACTTTATGACAGGGGTGATTACTCTGGCTACAGAAATGAAATTAACTCAGCAGACTGGCAATCCATAATAAACACTAACAATGATATAGATGAAACAGTCAACCGAATAACTAGTACCATATTAAATGCCGCAGACAACAATATTCCTAACATAATAGTAACAATAAGACCACATGATATTCCATGGATGACCAACAAAATACGTAAACTAATAAGAAAACGCAAACAGGCCCACAAAAAAAGCAAAACAGATGAATACCGAGTTATCTTGGCAACAATTTAAAACAATCAGAAATGCAGTTACCAAACAAATAAGAAAAAGTAAAAATGAACATAAAAATAAATTAATTGAACAAATAAACTCATCAAATACTTCAACGAAAAATGGTTTAAACTGACAAATCTTTCACAAAAAAAACAATCAAAACCAACAATCCCAGTCCTCCTTGATAACGGAATTTCTGCAAATACTGACAAAGAGAAGGTAGAACTACTAAATAATTTCTGTTGTACACAATCAAACACTCACGGTCAAAACACACAACTCCCAAATCTGAGTTTGCATACAAACTCATCTCTTCCCCAGAAGAAGATGTCAAAGATGCTATCTCGTTAATCGACCCGTCGAAAGCCTGTGGCCCAGATCTTATTCATCCCCGATTACTAAGAGAAGGATCTACTGTTCTGTCTAAACCTTTGGCTGACTTTTTCAACATATTACTTTCAAAATGTACCTTTCCTACCTCCTGGAAAATAGCCAATGTCACTGCTATATTTAAAAAGAATGACCCATCTAAGCCTTCGAACTACCGATCCATTTCTCTTTTAAGCTGTACAGGTTAACTAATGGAGAGGTGTAGTACAACTATATTATTATCAACAACCTCCTCACATCTTATCAATCCGGTTTCATCAAAGGTGACTCCACCATTAATCAAATTACATACATATATATCGATATTTGCAAGGCTCTTGACGAAGGCTTGGAGGTTCGCGCTGTATTTTGCGATATCTCTAAAGCATTCGACCCAGTATGGCATCGAGGTCTCTTACATAAGCTTACCTCAATTGGAATAAACGGCTCCCTTCTTAACTGGTTCAGGGCTCGATCCTCGGACCTCTGCATTTCTTGATATATATAAACGATATCGTTGACGATGTAAATTAGAGCATCGGTACCTTAATAAAAGCAAAACAAAAGCCTCCCCTTTATTTAATGTAGGAAGTCGTATAGGCCAAATATTGCACGCACGTCTTCGTTTAGATTGTAGCTCCCTGAAATTTGACCTTCATAGAAAGTCCATTATTCAGTCTCCCTTATGTCTATGTGGCGAAATAGAGACAGTGCATCACTTTTTCTTTTCATGCCCTCGTTATGATATCATCAGAAGCATTTATTTACGCCCCATTCTATGTCCCCTGACACTTAACAATCTCTTGTACGGAGACGAGCGCCTGAGCTTTAACACGAACGAAAAAAATCATTCTTAAAGTTCAACATATTATCCTAGCTTCCAAACGTTTTACTAACTAATATCAACTTTTTTCTGTCCATCACTTCCCGATAATATTGTGTACAGATATATATTCTCTATTCTTTATCTAAATTCAAAATCTTATTTAGATATTATTGTCTCTTTTTCTCTTCAAAACATTCTAAACAAAATCATTTGAAAAAAACATACTTAAATTGAATACTAGTTAAAAACAATATTTTACTTTGTAATAGAAATTGTTTGGAGTAATCTCCCAATATTATGAAACAATCTTGAAACAGAAGTTTTCTTATTCTACTACTTTAGATAATAATGTTCTGATAAATTTATTCATTTTAATTATTTATCTGATTTCCCTTTTTTGTATTTTTCTAACCAAATATGTGCATATTTTTTATTGCGGGTACGTTATGTGTGGAAAGGAATTTACATAAGTCACATTTGACTTTTTTTCCAATCCACGAAATATATCATTGTGATTGTATATGCTTACTGTATATATTTATGTGTGAAATAGAAACAAAATATTGTTTAAACTAAAGTGAATGAAGCGGTTGAAACCAAATAAAGACGACAGTCGTGCAGGTAGACCAATGACTCTTACAGATGAAGAAACAAGGCTGCAATTCAGGAGTACATACTCCGAGATAGACGAGAGTAAGTGTGGAGCACGTGGCAGATAAGTTTGCTATTTCATATGGTACAGCTTAGTGCATTATGACTGATACATTAGGAATGCGCCGCGTTTCAGCAAGATGGATGCTTCGTTTGTTAACGTCGGAGCAGATTGGGGTTAAGGTGAAAATGTGTCAGTAGTACGACAGGAGGTATCGTGAAGAAGGTGATTACTTTCTAAATCGAGTGATAACATGTGATGAAACGTGGATTCACTTTTTGAACCGGAATGCAAACGTCAGAGTTCTTTCTGGAAGCATCCTTCCTCGCCTTCCCCTACAAAAGCGATAATTTCCAAGTCAGCCGGGAAGGTTATGACCATTATATTCTGTGATACAAACGGTGTAGTGCTAACCACTGTGTCCTTCCGAAAACGACAGTCACTGGGAACTATTATGCAACATTACTTAGAACGGAACTCATGGCGACAATAAGGAGAATGCGCCTAGACATCTACTTAGGTCCAGATTCATATTACATCACGACAACGCGCCGAGCCATTCAAGCCACGTTTTTATGGATACACAAGAAAAACTCGACGTTGAACTGTTACCGCACCCACCCTACAGCCCGGACCTAGCAATTTGTGACTTCTGGCTGTTTCCAACTTAAAAAAAAAGTCTTCGAGGTACGAAATTTGAGTCAAGAGAGGAACTGAGATGTGCCGTGGACAGACAGCTGCGGGAGATGTCACATGACGGGCTACAACGCTTGTTCGAGTCATGGGTCGAGAGATAGGACAAGTGCAAATCGTGCATGGGACGTTACTTTGAGAATGAGTAATCATTTTAGGTATTTGAATAAAATTATTTCCCTGCTATTGAATTAGTTTACGAATTGATTGATGCACCCTCATATAGAGCTGTAAACATAATTCTGTTTTTTGCAAAATTTGCCCGTCTATACGATTTGGAAGGGCAATTTTGTTTGAATATTGAAGTGATTACATTGGTCGGCAACATAAAAAAAATATTAATATAACATAATGTACATTATGAACCTCTTTATTGTTTTTCGCCATGTTCAGATTTGTATATGAATAATTATTATTAGAGATACAACGATGCGCTAATGATAGATGAGCAAATTCGACGGCTTTTTCTAGACCAACCATCTTTCTGTTTGACTAACATAATAAAAGATTATACCTGTTTCAATCCAATTTTTTTTCAGATATGATTTTGTTTTCTATGGTACTTTCGTACCACTTCTAAAGTTACGTTAAGTAAACCTTTCAACTGATAAAAAAACATTTTTGTTGTTGTTTTTGTTGTTGTTCCATATCACTTATACCAAAGTTTAACTTAAATCGTCAATGGGTTTCTAAAAAGATAATAAACTTTTGCTATTTCTTGTCTTTATGTCAGAATATAACAAACGATAAGAATGAAAAGTATTAGATAGTTTTAAAAAATATCATATTATCCACATGCATCGATCCCCGGGAGATGTTTTGGTTGTTTAGCGCGGAGGAAAGTAGTCTAGTACTGGTGTAACTCTCCAGGAACGATGGTTAGGAAACTACCCGCCTATATGACTGAAATACTGTTGGAAAAAGGCGTAAAATGAAACAAACAAACAAACAAAATACACATGAAAACATGTTCCTTAAAATTGTGTAAATACAACTTAATTTAAGGAGCATCAGTGTATTTATTTTGACAACAGGGTCGAGTCCTAAATCACCAACTCTGCTTACAGTTATAAAGTCACTAGCAGTTTACATAAAAGCGATTTTCACTCCTCACCTGATAACAGAGTTAAAATCAAGCCTGCAACTTTTTATATGTGTCGTTTTTGGGCGTTCTTTAGAGATTATATATCTAGATTCTATATGTAAGCCTTACAAGTACGCGAAGAGAGTAACTTTGAACATTTATAATTAACGTCAACGTGATGAACTTACCACGAAATACTTAAATATACGGGATGATTTGAACCGCCTCATAAGAGGGTTTGGTGCAGTGCCGTCGCAAATGCATATGCGGAGATTGTCTAGGAGGTGATAATTTACACCAAAATTATGACCAAGGTTATGTCCTATCCATGCAACGACGCTGCCAGGTTATTATCAATAGTCTAGATGGGTATAAGCGATATTAGGGAAATTATCAATAATAAAATAAGTTTGCGACATTTACGTATAACATACCATTACATATAATGGGCATATAGTTGTATTGAAAATATCATATCGTGTCGCTATTGACACCTTAGTGCAATAAATGGTTTACTTCCTGTTAGATTTAGAAGACCTTAACCCGTTACTGCACTTGGCTGACGATATGAGGACTTTTTTATACACGCATATTTTTAAGATTTGTTAAGTGTATTTATCACGATATAATGCTGTAAAGATAAAATAAAAAAACACTTTTATAATTTATAAATATATTTTACTTGTAAAACATAATGTATAAAATCTATATATTTGCACATTACATAATTAATTTTCGCAAACAATAACAAAATTGTTTTATTTCATAACAATGTGATACACGTTTTGAGATTCGGACTGTTGAATGAATATATACATATGATAGTATTTAATACAATGCCTTAGTTTTAGAGGCATCATTTTATCCGGTCATGTCCTTTAACGTTGTTAATGAAACAATGCCCATGATTGAAGTGTTATATTTAAGAACTAGAAGTTTGTGTTTGTTTTGACCAAGAGTGGAGAATATTTCTTATTTCAAAAGCCCAAAATCGTAAGTGGAAAAATAAAAATAACTCTCACTTAGAACTTCGAAGATCGATATATTACATATTGATTAAAACCAAACAAAGTTTCATTTTAGTTTACGTCATATTCTTTGTTTTTTATTCATAAATTAACGAAAAATTTGGCGCCATGTGACGTCATGGAATATATCACTTGTGCGTTTTTCTTTGATATCTTTCAATTTATAAAACTTTAACAAAAATTTCTTTTGTTCCACTTAGTTTGTGATCTAGTATGACTTGTATCTCAACGAAATATTTCAATATTTCATAAACACAGCATGAGCTAAATCAAATTTCTATCAATGTTCTGTCAGTTTAAATCGGTATGACTTATTCATCAACTTAACGACAAAACATCATGGCTGCGTTGTAAGAAAATGTATCTGGTGTGGTTATCGTTTGACTTCCATTTTTATTTCACGTTTGTTTAGTTATAGACACAAAAGTACGCAATGTGTTTCAGTTTAAATAGAGACGTCTTAGGGGTCGTGGACGATAGCTTGCAGTAACAACTACCGTCCATGAACAGACTCAATCAAACCGAGCCTGCAACATTTTCAATTTTGCCGTGTTGGGCTTTATGTTAGGATTCTTTTTCACTCCACTAGATAACCAATATGTGGGAGAGTATAAGACATAAAACTATCAAAACTCGGTGAATTTTATAGCACAAAATTGTACTGATAATTACAGTTGGATAGAGTTCTGTATAAGCGCTAGCAGTAACAGTAACAGACCTACACCCTCGATATAGAGCAAGGCTAGCCTACATCCTCTAATCAGGCTGTATATCTATGGCTACTAAATTTTATTATTAAGAATTCTTGCGAGATAAGGTTAAATAAACATTTTGTTACTTCACATTCCGATTAATATACATGTATATAAATAGTCACACAGATAATGAGACTGATGCCCCCGAGAAAAACAGTCGTCCGAGACAATCCACATAAAATTATACAGATTTAAAAAAAAAATAGCAACACTTTCTAGATGAATATTGTTCAACTATGATTAAACACCTCTCAATTTTCAATGTTAAATCTTAAAGTAAAGACACCATTCTTGTAAGATATCTATGCCAATATTTTACCTTGATAAGCTCTGTTTTAGGTAACAAAAGCATTACCTTTTGAAGCCACGTATAAATCATTCCATGATGATTTAAGGATTTCATCCTTTGCAATTAAAAAGTATACCTGGACATTTTTTGTCTTTTTGATTACATTATTCATGATCGACTGAAGACCTGGTTTTGAAGCAATGCTTACAGTAAATCCTTTCAAATTAAAACAAGCATATTTTACAATATTTCACATCATGCAAACAAAGAAGGCATCCTCATAGAAGGTGGTGTTAAGTCCTTTCGTAAATTGTTAACGGCGAATTTTTACCCTTTACCTATTCCTGCTTATTCCCCATATTTCACAACCACAGATAAATTCAAAATTGTTTCACCAATAGTCTCTTCTATAAGGATCTCTTGCATATGGGTCATAATCCCGGGGATCCCGGGGAGTTCGTGGTTCTCTTGGGCCCCTAGCGTATCCAGCGTATTGGTCCCAATGTTGTTGCTGTACTGCAGGGCGTCCGGTCGGATATCCACCATACCCTGGCATTTGTGCGTATGGACTGAAATTAAAAACAAAGCAATAAAAAGCTTTATAAGTATTACCTAAGTTTATTAATTTTATCGAAGGTACGTCCGTCGTATATAAACGGTATTACTTTTTTGTATTTAATGACATATCACGTGATGATTTAGAGCTGTTTACCATATAGAGTCAAATAACAAATAACTCTTTTTTATAATTAAGTTTTGGTACATGTCTGAAATATTCATTTCAAGGAGGCTACAATTATTTTTCAAAATATCATTGCGATTTTATACGTACATGTGCTCTTTATAGTATCAAAACGAACAACAAATGTCTTTTTAAATGAAATTTTGAATAATCTTTTTTCATTTAAAACTATTACAACGATTATTTGGTACACCATTTTCAACTATTATAATATGCAAATGTACTAATATTAGGTAACGACATACCTGTATCCTAGATTTTGCATATTCATATTTTCCAGACTTGCATGTCGAGAATTACCACCCAGGTAAGTAGATTCGTAGGAATACTCATACGCTTTGGATCTGTCTTTTAATGACGACTTTTTCTTGTCTTTCTTCTTCAATGAGCTCTCTGAATGTTTCTTCGCTTCTTTCTGCTGCAAGGAAATTGTTATTTTTTTAAGATCATTTGGACGTATGTGTACGCATGTCTTTCCCAACAAGTAACATTTGATCAATATATTTACATTTTTCTATAATATAAACGAGTATATAATCAATACAAGGTATTAAATATTGTTAATAGAGCGCAGCTAAACCTAAGAGAGCTAAAGAAATCTCTATCATTCTAACTATTATTTTACAATTTACAGCCAAGCAGTATGCCGATTTTCCGTATTATGCCTATTATCTACAAAATGCCAATCTTCCACAATTTGCCCATTTCTGCGATATGCACATTTTTCTATTACGCCAATTTTCCGCAATATGCCCAGCCTGAATACGCCAAAGCTCCAAAGTTTGCCCAGTCCCAACACTTGTTCTTTTCTACGATCTGCCTATTATATACAGTATGACACTCTTCAGCAATTGAACCAGATGAACCTATTGATCACATGAAGTTATAGATCAGATCAGACATCAAACTCACCTGACGTTTCTTTCCCTGATAAAATTCGAATTTTTCTGGTAGTGCTGTATTTATTGACGTGACATTTTGAGCAGACGACCCACTCTGAAAAAGCAGCAACATGCATACAATACAAAGAAGCATTCTGGCGCTCTCTAATGAAAACAAAAGCTTAACAGAAAGAGTGACAGAAAGAGTGATTAGTAATAAAGACAAAAGCAACTTCACAAAGAAAACATAAAACGAAGGTTTCAACTGAAAATGAAAAAAAAGGCTGACATGTTACCATAAAGTAAGTTATGGATGTTGAAAGAACCTGCATGCATAATATATTTATTAGTATGTAAGAATGTAACTTATCACATTTCGCAAACATTAACAACGGTTACTAAGTAATATTCTAATAAAGTTTCCACAATAAAAAATGTGTCCCAATTTTGTCTTTATTCAGTGGAAATTTTTTTATAACCAATGTACACTAAACATACACTTTAACTTAAATGAATTGAACTTATGAATATTAAAAAAAATTGAGTGCATAGAACAGGGCTAAACTTGATTAGAATGGTGATAGGGGCTAGAAATATGATATAACATTGTACTTGATGTCTAGTGGCTTTACATGTTTCTTCCAAATTCAAAAATTCACTTTTCATTTTTAAAATGTTTAAATCTGCTTAAGCTATGGTTGTATCCATCTACCTTTACTGTCTATAAACAGGTTCGATCGGACCGAGCCTGACACATATTTAATTTTGCTGTTTTTGGCTTTTTTAGGGGTCCCGTTTTTCTCCATTTTAGGTATAATAACAAAATCCAACATTTTTAAGAAAAGTCCCATCCATACTAAGAAAACATTCACTTGTGGGAACTACAATTATTTAATGTATATATATACACGTAAAGTCCCCAAATGTGGAGTACATTAATATTAGGAATAGGTGTACTATATAACAGAACAGTCATTTCTAAAACTGGTAAAAATATTGTGCTATAAGATTATAAGATTTGCACTGTTAAAATATTAGCAGTAAAAGTACAAGGACTTGTTATGCAGAATAAATATCAAGAAAGAATAATTATTTAGACTATATAAATCTCAAGTACATGTATCGAAAAAAATGTAACATTCTATCTAATGAAATGTTAAAGTAAGCTTTTGAGAAGATAGTCTTTACCATTCATCACACAGATACATATTAAACATTAAGACTTGGTGACTTGGTTGTCAATGTAAGATTTGCACTAAAAAATATACAAAAAATTGGAGAAAAAAATGTGTTATTAATCAAATGTTTGGGCTAATGGGAAGGAATCACACAGCACACAATTTCACATGAATACGCAAACATACCAATTGCCTACGAGGTAGATAAACTCTGTGCATCCGAATATGTCTTTCGTAAAGCCTGGCCTAGAAAACCACCAAATAGATCTATATAGAGTAAGCTCGAGAGAAAACTAGTAAAGTAATAGATAAACGTATATAAATGGAAATAAAACAGTTATAAGTATGTTTATGGAAAAAAGGAAAGAGAAAAAAGCAGCAAAGCAGTAGGTACTAATAACAATGCGACTAACAATTTTGGTCATAGTGGCTTTTTGGTATTTCTTCAAAATTAAATATTTAAACATTTACCTGCAGCACATTTATGCAGAATATGCATCTTACATAACTGTTGATAAGTAAGGGCACAAAGATGCTTGTTTTACGACAATACCTATTTGATATTGAAATAAAATGACACTGTCTGCCAATCACGACATAGTATTGTATATGCTGTAATTGAAAGTATAATAATCCTACAGAAAGAAAGACCAAATTTGATAGCCTAAAAAATGACCAAATTTGATAGCCTAGATATGGCATTATAATTAAAATTACGATAGTATTGAAAAAAGGCAACAAATACATAGATATAAATTAATTTGGGAAAAAGGCAGGAAATATAGATACATCTGAATAAAGACTAAATACAAAGCTAATATACGTAAGAATTATTTGGATATAGACTAAATACAAAATTATTGTATGTTTAGATATCTTAGAATCAGGAGTGTTACGCATGCATCTGTTGTTACAAAGGCTGCTAGTATGGTATTTTTCCTGAAGCATTTAAATGATCTTTTAGGAACAAAGTGATCTTATGATATTTGTCGTATACTTTAATATTCCAAAAGTTCCTCGTATTTTCAATTATAGCTCCAACATTTTGATGCATGTTAATTTATAGCAGATTTTTCAAAAAGAAAAGTAGCGCTAGTTTTGGCTTCTTCTGCAGTTAAAACGCGTATAAATGCACATTTACACTTAAAGACACTTCTGATACGCATCACTGTTTTCAGGTATGTATTTTATACGTATATTCCTGTTATTAGGAAATTGATATCATTGTTATGTAAATCAACACCTCAAATGTTTTGACTTTTAATTTCAATGAAGTGAATTGACCAAACACAAACGGTATAGAATCTAAAAAAATAAAGCGCGTCTGTAAAAGACAAAATCTAAAAAAAAATTGTATAGCGCATTTACGTTTGTGACAATGAATGATGCATGCCAATGGCGCGCAGACTTTCGGAATTTTATGCCTTCAAAGATAATATTTGGTGGGTTTTGCGCGAAATAATTATTAGATAAACTTGAACTGGTCATTCGTCATGGATGAATGATTTTATTGAAACCAGCTTTGGTGAAATCTAAATATGATATATCGCGATTTCTATGATTTTTGAAAGTGTTGCCTTTGAAGTGTCTTTCAGTTTATTTCTAAAATGAACTTTGTAACAAAGTTATATAATGCGCTTTTGAAAATGCTGAAACATGTATATTCTTTCTTTACAAAATACCATACAAGACAGTGCAATCTTTCTACAAGACAATGAATTAATGATTATATTACCTCGTAGTCGTCGTCTGTTCTACTCGATCGACCTGACCTTGGCTGTGACCTTTCTTGTGATCCCTCCCGGCGTCTATCAACGGTTGCACTAGTGTTATATCCTTCATTAGTATAGCCTATTCTTATAACACCTCCTTCATGATATTTACTTTTATCTCTTTGTTCGCGCTCTTTTCTCTCGCGCTCTTCATTCTCCCTTTCCATTTTTTCGCGCTCTTTCTTTTCCTTCTCAATTCTATCTAGTTTTTCTTTTTCTATCTTCCTCTGTCTTTCCCGTTCTCTTTCTCTCTCCTTTTCACGTTCCTTTTCCCGTTGTTTTTCTTTTTCTCTACTTCTATCACTTCCAGAATGAACACTGTCTTTTGATGCGTAATTTGCAAGACCCGTTGCCTGTAACAATTTTTCATAACCAGGCGGTTTCTCGATCCCTACTGTTTGCGGGGGACTATTCTTGCCCGGACCTTCTCTTGGATCTATATAGTCATAACGGTGACTACCTGAGGAAATTTGTGACCGAAACATTGGAGTTTCCTAAAAACAAACAAACATATAGAATGCTAGCTTATATTCAGGTCAGATCAGTTTTTGCAAAGAATTCAGAACTGACTTTGTCAGTGGTAAAAAGTGGTGATCAATTATTTTTATGTAATTTCAAAAGAAACGATGATTTTGTACTTTTATTAACATTTAAGCATACTATATAACATGAAAATACATGTAAGATAGTCAAAGTCTTAAATTACAGGCACTAAATATAAAATATATTATATTTTAACAAATGATAACTTAGTGGCTTGTTTCTAACACATGTTTTAGCGAATGTGGGAGCTTTCATGAGAAACAAAGACAAAAAGTAATTTGAAGGGCAGGACACACTAAATAAGTCAATTAGTATCATATGTAGATATGAAAGAAAAATGAATATACATAGAGTGACAATGATTATTCTGCAAGTTTGAATCTCTTGTAAATATTTCATATCACAAAATTACATATTACATAAATCGGCTAATACATATACAATGTAACAACAATGTTTACTTAAACATTAAAGGTGTCTTAAAATATAGAAAAGAAAAAAATAAGAGAGTTTTAACATATTTAATTCAGCATAATATTTGAATGGTAATTGATTCACTGATACCTGTGCAGAAATTTATGAAAAATGTTTTTTTTTCTGTTAACTAAATGTAGACTCGCGTTTTTTTTATAAGGTTTCCTAATTGAAGCAGATATCCGGTGTATAAACGAGTTTTATTACCTCTAAATACAAATACACCTATGAAAGATGTAGTGATTGGATGCAACAGGTGTTTGTAATCACAGGACATGGTATACAATGAATTGTGTAGGCTTGCAAGTCATGGTACTGTGATTTCGTTTATCCATTCCAAGATATTGTTTAAGTCTTTAAACCGGATCATTAAATACTAAACTATAGCCGTTCAAGTTCTATGATTTACTGACATGTACTTCTTTTCAGCTTTAATTGACTTTCTGATTTTTTTCTGATAGTTTTATGCCTAGAATCTTTAAGACTTGACATTCAAACTTGCAGATTATCTGTACACATCAAACAATATACAAAGATATATATGTGACTCATATATCTTGGAGACCATCACACACTAAAAAACACCAGTTGAAAACCATAATACCCTGATCACTGTACACTTGTTCATTTGACCCCATTTCCGTGACTTGAAATTTTGATTTCTTACATTTTATGTTATAGTAAATTGAAAAATGATTTTCACTTATTAACTGAAACTAAATACTTGAATCAAAAATCTTTCAATAATCCTAAGTTAAAATGAAACCAAAAGCTTATAATGTTTTAGATAATATACACGGACACATATACATGTACTTCTTAATCGTCATTATTTCTTAGAACATGCCCAATAACAATGTAATGGACATCGCACTTAATCGTGCTGTAGTAAAAGGTGATTTCTTGAAATTTTAACACAGTTTGTATTCACCGTCCTTATACATTTGCATGAATTCTTAAGAAAGAATAAAAACAGTAATGGTTTTGAAGTTTTTATCACTATATTATGACATAACGGTGATTTTAATGTATCAGAATTTTATATTTAAAAAGTAGCAACTTATTGCAATTAGACAAATAGATACATGTGTGACTTTCCTTTAACATTGTGAGTCACTTGCTATAAGTAAAAACAAGAGAATTATTATTATCATTATGTCCCTGATTAAAACAAACTGTGGGTCAACACCGGATACCAAATTACAAAAATGGCACTCAGTTATAGATAATATTTTTTACCAAAAAGCGAACAAATCTAGAGTGACTTGGATAGAAGATCTCTTCCTAAAATTTCAATTTAAATGTTGTCTTAATGTACTCTTCATTTCAAAACAACAATATTAATATAAAATGATTTAGAATAGATTCTAAATGAAAACAATATAACTGAATCTTTGAATTATTACATCGAATTTATGAAGATTTTCTTGTTACAATCTTTATGATAACAACCATTTAGTTCATAATAGCAAAATAATCTGAAATCTATGAGGTGAATTAGATGCAGATTTGCAGTAATTAAATTGAACTGTAAAGAAAAACTGCAAAAGAAATTTACTTATTATTAGAATTTCTACGAAATTATTCAACATTTTTTATGATCATGAAATGTTTATTTGCCTATGTTGAGATCATAATTTTGTATGTGTTTGTTTTGTGAATATTAACCGAAGTAAACTAAAAACAACAACAACAACAACAAAAAGTTGAACTAAATTGAAGATGATTTGTCTTACATTAAATTATACATTTATATACACGAAGGAAATACCAAACAAATATAGTTTAAATAACTCTAAATTCGAAACTATCTACACATATGAACACGAACTTTTAAATACGAAAACAAATTATACATCTGAAAACATCATCAATTGCAAAACTTATTACAAATTTGATCAATATATGTAGCTCCAATACGAAATAATCCGTGTATAAAGTTATTTCAAATGCCAAATAACCTTTTCAGAAAAATACTGTTAAACATGAAAAGGTCTTTACAATAAAATATCTTTAACTTCGAAACTTCTTACACATGTAAACGAAAGGACTATTTTTTTAAGCAGAAAACTACTTACATTAATTTTGTCATCTTCCGTCCTGTTATCTGCCGGAAGTATTGATGATATACCTGCAGTTCCGCCCATAACCTCTGACTCCCTTATAATATTCGATATCTTCACATCATCTAAATCAACAGCTTTACTTCTATTATCAACCTCTACTTTATTATTAGCTTCAAAATTGTCATTAAGGTTTGTACTTTTCTTATTTTTACCGACAAGCTCTTTCATCTGCCTATCAGCCTCAAGGAATGGATTTGTGGCTGAAATATACGAAATAATTCGTTGTTTTTTCTTTAGATTGTCAAATAGCTTAATAATTGTTTGTCACTCATACAAAGTTTCATCATTCTAAAATGAAAGACAAAAACTTTATGGGGTCATTATCAGGACTTATTGGATGACCCTCGTAGGATTGAAAAAATATTATCGTACATAACATAAATGAATATGCCTCTCGAAATTGTCTTATTAAACCACGGAAACATGTATTAAAATTATACCATACTTACATCCCGTGTTAAGATCTTTATTTTGCTGTAATTTATTTTCGTTAGATAGGAAAGCCTGAAAACAAAATGAAAGAATGCATTATTTGTAAAATTTCAAATTGCGCTTGATAAACTTAAATTTTGGTTTAATTAAAAAAAAAATAATATTTATATTTCCGGTAGCTATAACATAATTAAATTCATAAAATATATTCTCTTTCCCTAAGTTGAAATCTATCATCATGAAAATGTTTGTACTTTTGATACGATTCTTGTAAATGGATGCTAAATAATATCTGAATGACTGAACGTTTAAGACATACGAAACATTAAGTAAAAATCTGTTGCAAATTTTTCATAAGTTTTATTGCGTATTTTGATATATAAGTTATATACGTCGCAACAACACTGTTTAAGAAATAATATATCCCAAACTGTGATTTTATTGCTCAATAACATCACTGTTTTGAGTTCGGGTGCGGGGAATTATATCACGAGGGCGTAGCCCGAGTGATATAATGATGCGCATCCGAACGACAAACAGTGATGTTATCAAGCAATAAAATCACCGATTTGGATATATTATTTCTTCTATGTTCAATAGGGAAAAATGCGGGTCGTGTTAGAATAAGGCTTATACGACGACTTATCCAGCTTTATTGCTTGAGGAAGACCTCGTATGCCCCTTCGTGCATTATTTCCGAACGGGCCCCTGGGTAGAACCACAGACATTCCGCATGTTAGCTGTTTAACTTAATCGGTAAAAAAATTCGGATTCAGATTAAAATCCGCAGCGGAGAGAGGATGTTGGTTTGAAGACAACAATATTCACAGTTCGGCCACGACTTTTAATGTCAAAAAAACTTGATGTGCTAAAATCCCTCAAGAACATAAGTTAAAACTACATGTACATATTCAATATGACACTTATTAGCAATACAAAACTTTAAGATATGAGAAACTGTGAAAGTAATGAATGGATTTTCCTTATAAAACAAACACTATTTCGTATTTAAACATGAAACTCATTTTGAAAATTCCATCGTGTATACTCACTGTTGATCCCGTGGTGGAATGTGGATTTTTAAAAGTATTTTCTATAGACTGTAAACTCTTCTTTCTGTCACTTCGCTGCTTTATTGCTTGTCGTAGCTGTAAATTAACATCAAAAAATAGAATTAAACATTTTGTTATGTTTCCAACAGTCAAATGTTGAAAAAAGAATAAGTTTGTGTAAAATAATGGGTACTCACATATTTGCGCATTTAGAGCAATACATAATTATATAAACTTACTGCTTACTTTCAAACGCATGAAAAGTGTTTGTAAATGAACAAAGCTAGCTTAAGATGTTTACTATTCAAAAAACATTACGCTTCATAGTTTGCATGACATATTCTTATTCTAAAAAGGTGTTTTCAACTTAAAACGATATTTTAAAATTTGATTAATTCCTCTAAAAATATGTAGCTTGCGAGATATCAATTTTCTCACAATTTATTTTACATTGAACAGACATATAAAATAATTTAAACGTTTACTGAAAAACTGTCTTACATACCTGCTTATTAAGGATACAGTGGAATAGGAATATGAGGAATCCCTGAAAAAAATGAAAGCAAAATAAATCAATATATCGACCATCTTCGACGTTGCTGACAAACATCTTCGCTGACCATACATATCTCAAACACAAAAAGAGTTATCAAACTTGTATTTGAGATGTTTGACCTTGACCGATGTGACCTGTGCAGGCCAAGATCAGACACACTGTTCGCTGTTCAGCCAGTAGACTTATTTCGAAATTTTCCCTAAAATGATGAGCAATTTGTACAGATTGAACAATGAACATGTATTTTAATAATAATTAGTTATTAAGGGTTGAAACTATAAATTTAGAGCCTACACATCAGGGATATCTGAGCAGGCGTTGTGCTGCTAGCTGCTAAATTTTATTTCTTCGCATACTCATCATCAGTTCTTTATAATTCAACAAAGGGCACGTTCTTCACGCTAATAAACAGTGTATTTGCAAAAAAGTTTATTACTTTTATATCAAGCTGGAAATTTTAAATTTTCAATAAATATTTATATCACATGTACTTCTATACCTATTTTTCTGGGTATAAACTACAATTATTACGAATTTATTGCACGCACCGAACTTCATACTTCAATAAGTATGATTCTTAACAAGTCAATTACGAAAACCTGCTGGAACCGGAAGTGATTAGCTTTTTGGCCACGACGGACAACATCCGGCACTTCCAAAGATTAAACGTTGCTAATATATAAATAATACCCATGTACATCACATAGTGTAAGATTTATATCAATTAAACAATTAAAAACCTGTAATTTACAACTTATTGAAAATTGGTTGCTATACCTGCAAACTATTGCATATTGCAAATATATACTGGAAGACAACTAAATCTTCGTTGACGGAAAATATCCCGAACACCCAGGTGAGGCCTAATATTGGCAAGAGAACACATATACTGCGAACACCCATTCTGGAAAATTGAAATGGTCAATTAACAGTTATGAACATCATGTTTTGTATATAATTATCAAATTCTCATACCTTTTAATACCTTTTGAAAAAATGTTTGTACTTATTCATACTAAAGTATATAACTACCTAAAGAGAATGAAATTAGGGTTTAAAAGGTTCAGGCAATTTCTCGAAGGTAAATTTAACATACTCAATTAAACCCAAACGGATTACAGGATGGGTGCAATTAAATCATTAATGATTCGTTTTGTGGAACTAAACAGCGCCGAGCAAGGTGCTGTAAAGGAAATATATCAGGGACAAAAGTAGGGTTCAAGCACAAGAAACCCTGTGTTGAGAAACCGTTTTAGTTGCTTTCTAGCAGGCATTACTAAACATGAACGAGTTAGAGCAGCCAAGTATGCACACATATTTGTTTACAAAATATGAAAAGAGCCAGGGGAACGAAATCAGAAAAACAATAATGTGTTAAACATTAAAAGATAAAAATTGAAACCAGCGGATGAAAATAAATACACTGAGTTCTAGACTTACACAGCTTTTTCTTTATCTGACTTTGTCATCATCGCTGATGACTTAAACATCTGTCTTAAAACTATCACAACTATAATAAAATTAATCTGAAAATAGAAAAATGATAGTAAAATATATCAAAAAATAAATATGCTTCAATTCGAAATAAAGAGTTATGCCTTTCCCGAAAATCTGCAGAAAGAGTGATCCTTCAAAAGCATTAATTACTACAAAATTACATGAAAATTGCAGACTCGTTTTGATTAAGTCTGTACATAAGGGAAAATGAAAAAATGCGACATTCATAACGCCCCCTAGCACCGGCCTGAGCGGTATTAGATTGTTTAACACTTTAAAGTGCTGGATCAATAATGAAAGTTGAGACTTGGATATAAATGATTATTGAAAAGTTAAAAAACAGAAATCAAGATAAAACAATTGGAAGAGATGGCAACAAATGATGAACCTGTACAGGAACATACCACAATGATCAAAGCAGCAGGACCAACGAAAGCCCATAGAAGCCCATCTTCTATTGACAACCAACAACTGTAAAGAAAACATTATTGTTTAATATTTCAGAGGGAACAACGTTTACAAGAAATAATTTGAATATTGTTGCTTGTTTTATGAATGAATATAAGTTTTGAAATGCTACTATCATTAAATATGAATTGGTCGATCTGCTTTTGATCAATTATTTAAAACATAAACAAAAAACACAAGTTGAATTATGGTTGTACCTTTATCACTTCAGTATTATTTGATTAATGTGCCATGTAATGCTACTTTTAGAGTTTTCAAAATCAAATCTATAAAACATAGCAAATAATTATTGAGATTCAAGGCTTGTTGGGTGGTGCTTAAAAAATTAAAAATATATTAATATATATTTTTTTGTTGAAGTAAAACATACTAATAAAAGTTTTGATAAATTACTTACAAGCTTTCATTGCCGTAGCCTTCTAGCTTTGTAACACCCATAGATATTCCAACAATTACCAATGGAATACCTGTAATATTATGTTAATGTCGTTACATCTTTTTTAATCTGATACTAATATATGATGATTCTTTCCAAGTAATTTCTATAGCGCCATAGAATACATTTTCCATAGAATGCATTTGGTTATTACGACGGTTGATTTAAAATAAGATCAAATTAGATGAAGCGTTGTAGTTGCCATCCTTTACTGTAAAGGTGCTTGTTCTGAACTTCATTTATTTATAATAGATTGATAAACGCGTTTCTTGTTTTCTTAAACAATCGTAGAACAAAACTACTGTAATATTTGTTTTCAACCCATTTAGTGTGGTTTTTGCACAGTCAAATGGACTTGTCAATTATAATGCAAAGGTGATACAAACACTGATTCTTACATCTGAGCAGCCAATGGCTTACTTGTGACATGCTACAACCAAAAGCATTTAGTCTCTGCAGCCAGTATACGGTCATGCCAGCAAAATAAATCAGTCTCTGTACTGGCGTTTTCTCATTTTTGGAATCCCTTATGTTTCGACTGGAATGTCCCCAAATCAAAGCAGTGTAAATTCATTTATGCAACTTCAGTAAATTAAGGGTAAACAGGGGTTCAGGCTAATACTGCAATATGCTATTTTTGTCTCTGATACTCAAAGGTTTGCATGGGCACTAGATAATACGAAAAGAGGAAAATTGTTATAATATTCATATCTATATAATGGATGTTTTTTATCAAAAAATACCTACCCCAGGCAAGTGGCAGTAACCATTTTATTCTGGATCTTGTTACAAAAACATAAACTACGGAGATGGCAATTTCTATACCATATGCCAGCATCAGAAAGAACACAACCAGGTAAAAATAATGCAGCAGTGCAGAAACAGCAGTACATACATCCTACAATATGTATTTAAAAAAAGATAAATCAAAGAATAATTTTTTCATTTCATCATAAAAAATTGGCAATGAAATATAGCTCATATTTCTCACTACATAACATTACGAATCAATGAGAAATTTGCATACAATACAAAAATGTTATTGAATTTAATATACACAATCTATAAATAATATAATTTTGTATTTAATAATTACGAGATCTTGAAATGTTAAAGTTGATTAGCGCTATATTTTTCTAACAGTCCTAACTTTTTTCTCAGTTATATAAATTCAACATGCAGTTATTTTAATATTCATGTCATGCAAAGATAATATAACAAGAGGGCCATGATGGCCCTGAAGTCGCTCACCTGTATATAGGCCCCTGGAGCGGGGCCAGTTTAAACCCCAGGGCTTTTATTTGAACTAACTTGGTAGACACCCATTAGAAGATATTTCATGCTTAACATCCAAGGTCTAGCTGGTCAAGTTTTTTTCTTTACACATATAGTTAAAAACAATGACACACCTGGGGCAGGGCCAGTTTTGACCCAAGGGCTTTTATTTGAACAATCTTTGTAGACACTTACTAGAAAATGTTTCATGCTTAATATCTAAACTCTAGCTATTCGGGTTTTTTCAAAGAAGACTTTTAATTTTTTGCTATACACATATAAGGAAAATCAATGTCAGCCGGGGCGGGGCCAATTTTGACCCCAGGGCTTTTATTTGAACAAACTTTGTAGACACTCACTAGAAGATGCTTCGTGCTTAATATCTAAACTCTAGCTATTTGAGTTTTTTCAAAGAAGATTTTTTTAAAGTTTTTGTATAACACATATAAGGAAAAGGAATGACCCCTGAGGCGGGGCCAATTTTAACCCCAGGGCTTTTATTTGAACAAACTTGGTAGACAATCAGTAGAAGATGTTTCATGCTTAGTATCTAAACTCTAGCTATTTGGTTTTTTTTCAAAGAAGATTTTTTAAGTTTTTTCTATACACATATAAGGAAAATCAATGACCCCCGGGGCGGGGCCAATTTTGACCCCGGGCTCTTATTTGAACAAACTTGGTAGACATCCATTAGAACATGTTTCATGCTAAATATCATAGCTCTAGCTCTTTGGGTTCTTTAAAAGAAGAGTTTGTAAGTTTTTACTATTTGCATATTGGGAAAATCAATGACCCCCCTGGGGCGGGGCCAATTTTGACCCCAGGGCTTTTATTTGAACAAACATGGTAGACACCCATAAGAAGATGTTTCATGGTAAATATCTTAGCTCTAGCTCTTTGGGTTCTTTAAAAGAATTTTTTTTAAGTTTTTACTATATGCATATAGGTAAAATCAAAGACCCCCTGGGGTGGGGCCAATTTTGACCCCAGGGCTTTTATTTGAACAAACTTGGTAGACATCCATTAGAACATGTTTCATGGTAAATATCTTAGCTCTAGCTCTTTGGGTTCTTTAAAAGAAATTTTTTTAAGTTTTTACTATATGCATATAGGTAAAATCAAAGACCCCCTGGGGTGGGGCCAATTTTGACCCCAGGGCTTTTCTTTAAACAAACTTGGTAGACATCCATTAGAACATGTTTCATGCCAAATATCTAAGCTCTAGCTCTTTGGGTTTTTTAGAAGAAGATTTTTTAAGTTTTTACTATATGCATATAGGGAAAATCAATGACCCCCTAGGGCGGGGCCAATTTTGACCCCAGGGCTTTTTTTTTAACAAACTTGGTAGACATCCATTAGAACATGTTTCATGCTAAATATCTTAACTCTAACACTTTGGGTTCTTTAAAAGAAGATTTTTTAAGTTTTTACTATATGCATATAGGGAAAATCAATGACCCCCTGGGGTGGGGCCAATTTTGACCCCAGGGCTTTTATTTGAACAAACTTGGTAGACACTCACTAGAAGATGTTTCATGCTAAATATCTTAGCTCTAGCTCTTTGGGTTTTCTTTTTGTTGCCATGGCAACCAGAGTTCTGCATGGAATTAAATTCTTTGAACAATTTTTAAAGGTGACCACCAAAGGAACATTCCTGTGAAGTTTAGATGAAATTGGCTTAGTGGTTTATGAGGAGATGTCATTTAAAGCAAAAGTTTACGGACGACAGACGGACGGACGACGGACGGACGGACGGACGCCGGACGAAAAGCGATCACAAAAGCTCACCCTGTCACTTTGTGACAGGTGAGCTAAAAACACAATTCGACACTAGAAATGACGTCATCACTTTATAATGAAGTAGAATCATTTTTGCATATAATACCGAAACAGTTTCATTTACAGTTACACATTAGTTTTACGTAAATTCCTTTTCATTAAAGTTTCTAATAATTTTATTCTTGCTAGAAATGTACATCTCATGCGAACCTCAAAAATAACACTACTTTCGGTGACGTCATCTTTTAACATTTTGACCTACTGACCTAGATTTACTTACCTTATTTTCAACTCTGTCTACTCCAGCAAGGAAAACGATGTAAGATATTATCAGAGCCGCACATAAATTTAGTAACAATACTGCACGATCACTTTTCACGAATCTAAAAGATCAAATTTTATCTCTTTATTTTGTTTTATGTCATTCAATCATAATATGCATTTCATCAAAAGTTTTTCTTTTGATTTTCTAGTTTGATTTATTAGCAAATAGCTTGCAAGTTGTACTGAATGATTTATAGAATAACCCTACAAATAAATTTGGCGATGTTTGATTTAATTAATGTACATCTCAAATAAAATCTATAAGTTTACTGAATATGTAATATGCAAATGGATCAACACGCATCCCTCTTCATGCAGAGTTCTTTGAAACGTTTGAAAGTTTTCAAAACTTTGATACTAATAGTATTCAAATACAGTAAAGATTAAAAAAAAATAAAAAAGAAATGTGCCAGTCTAAGGCACCGACATACAATAATGTATCAAATTTTTATTACCAGCCCATATTGCCTGAGCAACGGGTACTACTAAGGAGGACGAAAGATATTACATTAAGAAATAATTTAAAAATTGAAAGATTCAATTGGAACTGTAACATGTGTAAAGAAAAGTTAAGATATGTATTTGACCTTCTTGTTTTCCTTCTTACTATGTGAAACCACGTTATGTAAAACTATAAATATTACAATAAAATGTAAATCGCTGAAATAAAACTAAATAAATATCTATAGATTTAAAAGACAGTTCAGACAAATGCCTCTTACCTCCAAACTATAAAATGTAGAATAACTGTCAGAAGTAGACAAAGGATGGAGATGCCACAACCTACAGCCGATATAATACTTAGAGCCAAAACATCTGCCGGGGGCTGGAAAATAGAAATAAATCCGAGGTAACATTAGCTGCTCATTTTCTAATACAGGTTATGAAAACTTTAAAACACACACCTGGAAATAAGCTAGCACACCCGGCATTTCACATCAATTCTGAGAGACCACAACTGAAAGTTTAAATTTTATTTGGGCAATGGTACTAACCACCTGTAGTCAATTTGCAACAACTGTCACAAGCTCGGCACCAAGAATGGCAAATTTACGTAAAATCGCATTAGACGCCTTACTGCATGGTAGTATGATGAGAAGGGTTGAGGTTATCATCCGAGCACGTGGCGGTTACACTCGTTATTTAACTTTTGGCAAAATAAAGTCATTTTAGGTTACGAAATCGTCAACATTTACCTAACATATCGACAAGTAAATGTTTTGTAAACGCTCCAACACCATACTTATAAACACTTACATTTTTGGTAAAAACACATTTGCTTATGCTTCAATAATTTGCTGAAGAATAAACTAAACTGATAAACATACTGGTTTATGATTACAATGTACTAAATTTGTATCGCTACTTATCAAATTATTATTTCTTAGCTCAATTAAGCTTTCAATCACAATCAATTTTAAATTTCCGGGGTGTGCTTAATTTATTTCCAGATGTATATATTTGGCTTATTTCATGGTTGAAATAAATAATTAAAAAACAACGATCCTTCGGAAGCAATGAAAATAAAAATATAATAGGAAAATTGCAGACTCGGTTTGACCGAGTCCGTTCATGAGAGTTTATATTAAAAGTGCAAACACTGTAAAGCTGTAAAGTATTACTAAAAATGTCAAGCAATATTATATAAATAGTATATAATAAATATCAATCATATCGTGTGCTGCACCTAAATCGATACACAAGATAAATGTCATATTCGAATTAATTAACTTTAGATATGGATATTAACTAAATGAATGAAATTTACACGGAGATTAGAAAATATACACCACGTTTGGATAATCTATACTTATATACTACATAATTATACATATTATAACACAACGTACTTCCAGAATGTTTCTATAAAATCCACTTACTTCCATTTTATATACATATACATATATACAAAAATCCTCAAAAATTAAAATGAACTACAAATATTTTGTTTCGAACGATCGCTACAAGTAAAGGCTGCAGAAACTACATTGTTTACAAATGATTGATATCACTACTCTTTAACATTCGATAGAGCATGAATTATGTCGAGTAAATCACATTGTTTTACCTTATTTTATAACTTTACCAACGATTTATCAATTTCTTACTTTAAACATTCTTTTTTTCTTTTTTTTTGTCATTTGTTGCCATTTCAGTGTTTTTTACCATCGCTTCTCGCCAACCACTCGCTCCGGATGTAACTTTAACATGGCACCTTTTGTTTGTTTGTTATTTGTTTTTACTATTTTATAAATACATTTGTATATATCTTTAGCGAGAAATTTAGACAACGCATCAATTAATTTATACTTACAGAACCTTGATAGAGAAAGTAGTAAACAGAAATCTAAGAGAAACCCATAGGTGTACTTTTTTCTTGATCTCATCGTAAAGAGGGAACATTCTTTTTCATCGTTTCATCTTTCAGACATTCGTTAACGCTACTTATGTTAACACTGAATAAAATTATATTTAATTCCCCGAAAAAAAAACTAAGTGCATGGTTCTGCTAAATCTGGTAGACGGTAGCTTGCATTTACCACTATCGTATATGAACATGCTTAATCAAACAGACCATGAAATTGTCACTTTTGCCATTTAAGTTGTTATTTATGGATTCTGTTTTTTGTTTTAGTTCAACTGTATTGCAAGACATGTGCGGGTTTTGGAAATAGGCTTCCGTAGTGATTAATAATAAATTTAATCTATTCTGTTTCATTGAAATTCTGGCTACGACATAATGCTATATAAAGATGATGGCAATGATTGAAATGCCTTAAGAAACATTTGATTATATTGTTTAAAAAAATGCTGTTCTATTTACCGTTTTTCCAGGGCTCATCAGTACGGCGAAATTTGTAAAGTGATTGCACTGACATACTGTGACGCCCTTTCACCCAAACAAAAACCAGTTACATCCGTCATTTTAAAAAAGCTTTTCCCAGCGAAAGCAAATTATTTTGAAAAAAGGCAAATCAAACAAAAAATTTTACATTTTAACTAAAAGTAAAAAATTATCAGAAAGGACAGAACTTAAACGACAGATCATTCAAATCGAGTTATAAGAAACTAACCTTATAAAGAAAATGTTTATATTTTCGTAATAGATTATCGTTCCTATCAGTTGCCACAATACAAAAGATATAAATAAGAAATTTATCAAACGCAATTAAATGAAACAAGAGGGCCATGATGGCCCTGAGATCGCTCACCTGTATATAGCCCCCCACCCATAAGAAGATGTTTCATGCTAAACATCTAAGCTCTAGCTCATTGGGCTTTTTAAAAGAAGATATTTTAAGTTTTTACTTATAATACACATATAGTTAAAAACATGACACCCCTGGGGCGGGGCCAGTTTTGACCCCAGGGCTTTTATTTGAACAAACTTTGAAGACACTCGCTAGAAGACGTTTCATGCTTAATATCTAAACTCTAGCTATTTGGGTTTTTTCAAAGAAGATTTTAAGTTTTTGCTATACACATATAAGGAAAATCAATGACCCCCGGGAAGGGGCCAATTTTGACCCCCAGGCTTTTATTTGAACAAACTTTGTAGACACTCACTAGAAGATGTTTCATGCTTAATATCTAAACTCTAGCTATTTGGTTTTTTTCAAAGAAATTTTTCTTAAGTTTTTGCTATACACATATAAAGAAAATCAATGACCCCCGGCGAGGGGCCAATTTTGACCCCAGGGCTTTTATTTGAACAAACTTGGTAAACACCTATTAGAACATGTTTGATGCTAAATATCTTAGCTCTAGCTCTTTGAGTTCTTTAAAAGAAGATTTTTTAAGTTTTAACTATATGCATATAGGGAAAATCAATGACCCCCTGGGGCGGGGCCAATTTTGACCACAGGGCTTTCATTTGAACAAACTTGGTAGACACCCATAAGAAGATGTTCCATGCTAAACATCTAAGCTCTAGCTCATTGGGCTTTTTAAAAGAAGATTTTTTAAGTTTTTGCTATACACATATAGTTCAAAACAATGACACCCCTGGGGCGGGGCCAGTTTTGACCCCAGGGCTTTTATTTGAACAAACTTTGTAGACACTCACTAGAAGATGTTTCATGCTTGATATCTAAACTCTAGCTATTTGGGCTTTTTCAAAGAAGAGTTTAACTTTTTGCTATACACATATAAGGGAAATCAATGACCCCCGGGGCGGGGTCAATTTTTACCCCAGGGCTTTTATTTGAACAAACTTTGTAGACACTCACTAGAAGATGTTTCATGCTTAATATCTAAACTCTAGCTATTTGGGTTTTTTCAAAGAAGATTTTTTTAAGTTTTTGCTATACACATATAAGGAAAATCAATGACCCCCGGGGCAGGGCCAATTTTGACCCCAGGGCTTTTATTTGAACAAACTTGGTAGACACCTTTTAGAACATGTTTGATGCTAAATATCTTAGCTCTAGCTCTTTGAGTTCTTTAAAAGAAGATTTTTTTAAGTTTTTACTATATGCATATAGGGAAAATCAATGACCCCCTGGGGCGGGGCCAATTTTGACCCCAGGGCTTTTATTTGAACAAACTTGGTAGACACCCATTAGAACATGTTTCATGCTGAATATCTTAGCTCTAGCTTTTTGAGTTCTTTCAAAGAAGATTTTGTAAGTTTTTACTATATGCATATAGGGAAAATCAATGACCCCCTGGGGCGGGGCCAATTTTGACCCCAGGGCTTTTATTTGAACAAACTTGGTACACACTCATTAGAAGATGTTTCATGCTGAATATCTTAGCTCTAGCTCTTTGGGTTCTTTAAAAGAAGAATTTTTAAGTTTTTACTATATGCATATAGGGAAAATCAATGACCCCCTGGGGTGGGGCCAATTTTGACCCCAGGGCTTTTATTTGAACAAACTTGGTAGACACTCACTAGAAGATGTTTCATGCCAAATATCTAAGCTCTAGCTCTTAGGTTTTTTTAAAAGAAGATATTTAAAGTTTTTTCTTTCGGTTGCCATGGCAACCAGAGTTCTGCATGGAATTAAATTCTTTGAACAATTTTTAAAGGTGACCACCAAAGGAACATTCCTGTGAAGTTTGGATGAAATTGGCTTAGTGGTTTATGAGGAGATGTCATTTAAAGTAAAAGTTTACGGACGACGGACGGACGACGGACGACGGACGGACGCCGGACGAAAAGCGATCACAAAAGCTCACCCTGTCACTTTGTGACAGGTGAGCTAAAAATGAAAAAACGAAAACATTTTGTATTCTCTTACATAAAAGCAATGACTTTGATAAACATATTGGATGGCAAAATAGTTCATCGGATATTAAAAAGGAATAGATGTTCAGGATTTTGTAATCTTAAGAAAACGACTGGCAATTATTGTTTATAAGTCTGCATATTCATTATCCAGATAAATTTGACTATTAGACTTGTCCTGCATAAATTTGGAACAGTAAATTGTTCGATTTTGGGATTCCATAATCAAATAGATATAACTTAGTTGCCTACAATACAGGGCCTGATCAGACTAAATAGATGTTTAGGCTGGAAAGGTTTTCATGTAAATATGAGGAACAGAAAATAATGGCTACTGGCATTGCATTGATGGTAAGTAAAATAATAAGGAAAAACATACTCTTCTTGAAAGTCCCAGTAACAACATATTGGATTTGAATAATTACTCTGTAAATAAAGAATGATACACAATCATACCATAATGAAAAGCTATTCTTTAATTGAAATAGTGTTTTTATATAAAGTTAATTGTTTATATTGCAATTCTTTAACATATATTAAGTAAACATACACTGTAAAGTATAAGTGTAAATCACAAATAATCCTATTTACATTCATCACAAACATGTACCCAAAACGCATACTCCATTGTTATCATTTCCTAAATTATAACCAATTTTTGTTTCAGCGATACCGTTTGTAACAGCATTACAGTAACAGCCTGCCTTAAATGGCGTATGGCGTATTTTTCCTCATTTACTATTGCTGCCAAGCTTAAACATTACTGAACAGTACCGTGCACCGGTACGTAAATTGTAGTTAATAATTTTATAAATCAATTGGTAAATTATTGCCATTTATTTCTTTATATGGTCATTTCAATTTCAATTCATGATTGTGTGAGCGGTTTAATGAACCATCTCGGTCATTAGCCGTAGCTTTAGGAATAATTTTACTCAGTCAATAAATCCAACCTGGTTTTGTCAACGTGTGTCTTAGTAAACTCCTCCCAGACATGTTTAGTATTTGGTATTTTTTTCTTGATTTGCTAAATGTGCTTAATCGGTCAATTCATTCTTAAGACATACCTCAGTTGAGCCCTAGTCAAGTGATGCCTCAATCAACTTCTTATAGACTTTGTTAACTTTTATTTCTAATTCAAGTCTGTGTCAACTCTTACGTTAATGGTTATTTGATACCTGGCATGGTCAATTAATTTCAACAATATTTTAGCTAGTAAATGAGTAAACATATATTTTGTCATTCAGCACTTTGAAATATGTTTATTTTCGGTAGCCTACATTTGTCATACTTACATCAAAATGCTCAAATGTAATTTCTGCTGGAGGATCCACTTTTGACAAAATCTCTTTAAGTTGAAATGAGACGATTGGTGCATTGATATCATACGATGACGACACATCTGTAACTCTTCTGGAAGATAAAAACGACCCAGGTGTTAAAAGAAGATACAAACCTTAACTTAATAGTATGAAGAAAAATCTTTTTACAATCTAAACACGGGGATATCCCTAGGGAGCAACGATCACAACACATTTATATGAAAATTATTGCAAACTTGATTTAATCTAATCTGTTAATATGATATTATGTAAAATTGCAATATTCTCCACGCCCCCTAGCACCGCTTTATACCCCTATAGGAATAATAGTTTAATAATCATTGTTGACATAAATACGAACAAACAATAGCAACATATGTTGACGAAACGAATCATCTTAAACTCTGCTTAAAAACAGAAACTACAGTCCTAAAATGAGAGATATTAATAAACAATGATAACGAAATATTTGCATTACTCTTTCGAGAAATTAACGATATCATTATTCTAACAAATACTTTTTCCCCCTATTTAAAACGGTTTGAAGGTGTTCATTCATCGTTATAATATGCTTGTAATGTACAATCACAAAACTTTCTCAGAATAATGTGTATCTAATATGAAACAAAAATGTTCAAAATATCAATGAACAAGTTTTTTCTTTAGTTTTGATGAAATGTCAATCGAAAATACGAACCCATCCTTTTTCAAAGTTTTAACTAGTATTGGCGTGATGTTTCTGAAGTATGAACTGGCATAGTGTACATTTGGAATATCTGTAATAATAAAACATTTATTGAATAAAACAACACTATTCTTCTATTCAACTACATTATGAGTACGTGAAAACTTTGTCTTTTTGAAACTCTATTATCTATTGCGCGTAAACGATTTTTTTAAAGTAAGAAAATCGTTTTTTGATGTTCTTTTTTCAGGTTAATTATAGATTCTGTATAATTAATGTAAACTGGTATGTTTTATGCAGCAATATAATGTTTGACATACCTTTGAATGCTTCCCCTTGAATAACTATGCTAGTCTTTGTGGACTTGACCCAATCCGGCGCTGTATTGCTCTTATCCGGGAACGTGTACACATCTCTTTTACCCGCTCCAATCGTGATGTCTGCAAGATTGGTCATATAAAACTATGCTTAAAATTAATGAGACCTACTTAAGAAGGGACAGTACTTTAATTGTTTACCAAGTAAACCTTGTCAGAGTTTTGATACGCTGTAAAACATGTCAATACCTCAAAGGATAATAACAATTTCCATTTCCTCTTTCAATCAAGTCACAAAAATTACTTTTAACATTCACCAAATGGAATAATGTTGAAATTAACTGTTTCATTTATCTACTGTTTCGAATGTTTTGTTGGTCAAAATATTACAGCTAGAAGTGTTAAGAAAAGCAGAACGATAAATGAAAACAAAAATTATACTACAATCTATAACATATTTACATTTGATATTCAGATGCAATAAACATTTCAAATACTGGTAGAAAAAGCTTTTAAATTTTGAAAATCCTGTTTATTATTTATAACACATTTACTTACGTATATTTGGCACTGATAAAATTATTTCCTTATTGTCTATAACGCCATCCATTGACTTTGTATTTGACTGCTCAACAAGCCTAGGAATTGAAATAGCTCCTTTCCGCCGCTGTATAAAGACATATTTACACTTTAGAATAATTTACAAACTCTTACATACATATTCTAAGTGAATGTGTAGGACAAAAATAAAATGGAATTAACCATTTGAACTAGATATCAACATGCAAGATGAATTGATTAGACATGAAAATTTTGGTAAAACAACGGTGACATGGTCTCGAGACAAGTTAATATGGATTTCAGAATTAGTGTAAAGATTTTATTTAACATTCATATGTAATGTTTCTCATATTGAATTACATGATTCACTGATACCGATACAAACACATATAAGGGACATGCTTTAGGAGACAAACGAATCGAGGAAATATTCAGAAATAAAATTTGAATTAAACGGTCGAGCATACACGCATATAAATAAACATTCAAACATAAATACAATTTATTGGCTATATTGATTTCCTTCAAATACATTTATAAATACCAGCTTTCCTGATAGCGTTACTATAAATAGATCAAATATAAGAATGGAGTGAGAGTGATAATAATGATAAAATTTGACTTGAAACTTAGTTTCTCAACGAGCGAATTCATATGTTTCAATATTAGGCTTTTACTAACAAATAAATATATCTGGAAGTGTCTTGAGTAATACATTTCCGTTACTAGTAATATTATATTATTATGTAATTGACTTAATTATGGAATTTAACTTTACTTACCACTTCAATGCTGGAGAACCAAGGCTCCCTGTTTTGTTGTGCTATTAGACTGCTACAGATCTTCAGTATATTCTGCAGATAAAAACTTGACATTTCATCTATGACATTTTCGTTTTGCAACATAAACATGTAACCACAAGGAACATACAAAAATAATCTGTTGTGTCTTAAAGAAAATCCTTAAACTTTGTTTAAACATACTGCAATGTATACTACATGAACTATTATTTCAAGTTTTGGAAAAATATTTGCTGATAAAGATGTGAACACAATCAGTGAAATTTATGGCTTTGCAAGGCAATATAATAATCATAATAATGTGCCCATATTTTCTTCTCATACACATGATTAACACATCACATTAAAGGAACATTGGGTCGAGTCATACTAGAGTCAAGAACATGTTTTGCTCATATGTAGCTAGTACAGATTAGGTATTAAAGTTCCATGCTTACGTTTTCATCAACATCCAACTACAATTGTCAAAACTATATTTAAACTTAACTAAACTCAAAACAATGGATGTTAAATAATTTGTTTAGTTACTCACATCTTTTCGGGTAACTTTTTCATCAGAAGTAGCGTTGTCATCTATTCCAACAGCAATGTCTAGTGAGGTAAGAGTACTATCAATATCACCTATATACAAGGAGTTGTCAGTCGTAGCTTTATTAAGGTCTACAAGAACTTCTGTCAGGTTCAATGGTTTAAATCCATCCTGTATATCTTTTAACTAAACATACAAAAATGTAAATATATTAGTATAAGATCATCGACTGAATTTTACATTTAGCTACAAAAAACACCTTGCAAAGTATATGGTTAATTATCAGTCTGCTGAACTTGTGTAATGCATTTGAACTTCAAGCCGCACTTTTAAATTTAAAGGTGTTTCAATAATAAAATACAAACATTGAACTACTAACAGTATAGAACCTGATCAGACGACTTGACTGAATCTGTATAAGTGACAAAGGCTCATCATAATTGAATCAGGTGAAATAAGTTCAAATAACATTCTGATAACGCCAACGACCTGGAGGACCTAGCATTGCTCGTTAAGAAAATGAATAATCATTATAACTATTTCTGTTAATGACAATATTTTTCTTACCTGTTGTTCGATTGTTGAAAGCTCTGTACTAACACATTCGTAGACGGGGGGATTCCAAACTCCAGTTGCCGAGCACCCTCGATAGATTTCTCCTGATATAAAAAAAAACAACAGCGCAAAACATAAGTTAATATTAATAATCAGACCAAAAAGTTGAACATTATGACAGAGAGTTGAATTAGATAAAATTATCAACTTAACATATACTTTTCTTAGCGTAATACGTAAATCATTTTATCAAAATATTTGAAATAAATCATAAAAATGCGACATGCCAATTTATGTATTAGTATTTTGGGAATCATAGAACATTCAAATTTAGAAAAATGTTGTTGGATTCTAGAAAGTAGTTTCCGATAAGAGCTATAAATGTGCATTGGGAACTCGAAAGTATATAGTTTACTAGTAATGAGTTAGATTATTATAAACGAAATTTATATAATACTTAACAAATTCAAGAGATAGATTATTAACATTGTTTACCTGAGTAACTTTGAGTGTCGTTACAATTTAAACGAACAACAATTCCCGGTGCCGACTGAGGCCACGTGGTACCACGATAGTCTTGTACTTCAGGACACAACTCTTCTGTTGTTGCATCTTTAAAAGGCAATTTTGATAATTTTAATAATACTTGGACCTCAAGTTTATAGTTTTTCTCTTACTAAGGACACACGCGTGAAGAAGGGCGTGAGTTATAATTTCAATGTAAATATAACAATCTTTTCATGTCTCCTCTTCTGATAATTTTCCATTCATATGATATCAAACTTTTAACCGCATACGAAGTAAGTTTAATATAAATACGCAATCATACTGTTTAACAAAAAAAAATATAATTTGATTCCGATAAGATGACAATATCTTTCCTGGCAAGTCAAATGTATTCATTTTATGTATACGTATGCATATTAGAATAGTTTGTTGCTGACCTTTGTATCTAATATTTGTTAAAATAATTGATAAAATAATCAATCTCGAAAATAAATAATCAAGACAAATATCACTGATATAGAAACACTCAATTACAAAATAAAGCAAATGTATATGAACCTTGAGGAATGACACCAATGTATGAGAACACACGGGCACTGCTGCCGGCTTCATTCTTAGCTTCACAACCAAATACAACATTTTCCCGGATTCCTTTTACCGTTATTGTCATTAGGGCAGAGGATTCTGTAATAACTTCATCTACAAAAAAGCACCATTGATCATAAAGCATGTTTCAGTTACTAGATGTATAAACAAACGTCTTAATCATGTAGTCATTTATTAATACATTATTAAAAAATGATAATGATAAAGTAAGACGAAAAAAAGCGTCAAAAACAGCTTCGTTCATTTTCAGAATTGACAAGCCTTTTTTTCTCGCGGCAGCAATCAACTCGATATTTTGTAACAAAATTCAGTAACTTTACGATTTTATTTCCTTTCTTCATTGGTGTGAAAATGGACAGAGAATCTACTAATTGAATCTAGCAATGTATCACACTCAATGCCATTGAATTACGAAATTTATAAAAGGATGATATGACTTACTAGCTTCTTTGAGGAACGGTTCTCCATTTCTGTACCAGATAAAACGCTCAAACGTCCCTGGTATTTCAATTAGCCCACATGTGACATTTACAGTTTCACCATATTTAACAGTAAGACTTTTTGGTGTAATGAATACTGTTGGTTGTGATATGACAGATAATTCAATAGTTTTATCTTTCACTTGTTCCCCAGCAGCGTCACTAACGTGGCAGCCATAAAATCCTGGATCGATACAAAAATGATACTCTATTAACAATTAGAAGAAAATCATCTGAAACTTAAGGAATTAAAAAGACGGCTTTAGAGTATATTACCTCTGCTAAATTATAAACCACTCATTAAAGGTAAACGTGCAAGTGTTTTGACACACCACTCTAAGTCATAAAACAACATTGAATTCGATATCTTAACATAATCAATCAATCGTGACAGCAAACTCGTGCATATGTATTCTGAGCATAGTAAACGGAACAAGAAAGCGAAGAAATTTCTTTACACTTAATCAGTACATAAAACGAATTATGTTGTGTCGACAAACTATATATTTTGAAAGATGCATTAAGAATTAATATGAAGAAAGTATTTATTTTTCTTACCCGACATGTCGCCTTGGATTGGATTAACACGTAGCGTAGAACGTTTGTATTCATTAAACACTTCATCTGCAGATGTCGACACACTATATCGTGATTGGTCATTCGGATATAATCTATTACCTCTGTATGTCCACCAGAAATCAAATTGTTCGTCCTCAGAGTAACCAACAGCGGTGATGTTGCAACTCAGAACGATCTCGCTTCCATTATAAACTTCAGTTGGTCGGTACGTCAACGCATCGATGGAAATAAATCCAGCTGTAGTAAGAAATTTAAAAATCTGGATTTTTCATCTGTTATCAGCAATTAATTTTGTTATGATTTAAGCTAAGTGATGGACTTGCTTTTATTATGCTTTGTTTCAGATTTTGTGATATGACTTTTTTTTTAGATCGAAAAAAAAATCAAAATTATGTTCCAATAATGAAAAAATAATGATATTATGCTAAATGCATTAACCTTCAAGAATCCAAATATGCATTTTCGAGTTTAACTATGGTTTAGATAATATACTTATTTGTTTAGGATTGTTATATACTTAGCTTTGTATAAAAATGAAATGAAACATTTCTATTATATACCGTGTATTTGACATTATTTATTTGATATTTAAATAAAAGAATTAAGAATAATTTGAAAACAAATTACCCCCAACTGCGGCCTGGAAAAAATCTTTTTGTACAGACATCTGATTCAGTTTTCCAGTTGACACTGCCTCTTCCAATTTCTCTATTGTATAATCTACATTACCCGACTGGTTAACGGACGCTTGTATATCAACATAAATACTGTTGTGCCGTCTGAGATAATTACATTAAATAATAACAGTAAAAGAAAATAATGAACTAGAAGAAAACATAATAGATTATTTTTATAAAATTGAACAAATACTCCTGGCTTATTCTGCAATAGCAAATCAGACCAACTGAAAGAAACGAGTGCAGAAAAGTCAACTTCATTTTCCTTTGCTTTGAAATATTTTAATCTATAATATTCTTCGAATCTTTCTTCCAAACATGCATAACATTATCTTAGAGTTTAAATTTAGAAATAAAATGAAAAGTAAATTGAATAAGAATATTCTTATCAGAAACTGAAAAGCGCAATCTATTGCAACGCCATTGACACATACTTTTTATCATTTTAAATGCTTACCAGAATAAAACGCCTACCGACAATTATGCACTTTTCGTAAATACAATTTCATGTCTAATTGACACATAAAAAGATAAAGAATCTTACCTAAAACTGACATCTCTTATTCCAGCAAACCCAGCTGTATCTTTTAGAACATATGAAACCTAGAAACAAAATATGTTAACCATGTCTGTGTTTGTATAAAAATAATTATATATTCACTGGAATCTTAATCAGTAGCATCTGGTAAGATCAGCAATAAGCAATTAACTTTTTCAGGTTTTTTTTTTCTATTTGTTAATTCTAAGCTGGGACTTAAAATTTATAGGATATTTTAAGTTCCATTCCTACATGTACGTGATAATGTCTGAAAGGATATATAAGGAAAGTTTAAAAAATAACTCAAACTCAGGACAGTTAATGTACTATAGCTACTGGAGTTCAGTGATTAATCAATATCTTGATGATGTTTTAATAAAGCTTATAGCTTAACACATTCCACGCTCCATTTGCAGCTCACTGAATCACGCATCGAAAGTGAAACATTCGAACGATGCGCAGGAGAGAAAACACATTCATGTATATGCTAGTGTGGTGCTTAGTGCTGTAGATTGTCTAAAAAGTCTATATTTTGAAAATAAAAATATTTTCTTAGTAAATACTAGACAATCTTACTTACACTCTCTGTAACATCTCTTTTATATTCGTAATATATTTGCGATAAAACATCTCGTAACCTATCGTTGTAGTCCTTATATGCCACAAATATTGCCGTGAAATGGGTGAGCACCGGTATCTCTGAAGGAAAATAAAACTTATTAAACTGTCAATAATGACAAGGTGCTGTTATTGGACTATACCTGTTTATCAATTGTATACTTTGATAAATGATATTTAATTAAAAACAAAACAGTTTAATACCACTCAATCACGTTTTTCTTTCATAACATTGGTTCTAACATACTTTATAATTCTCTTTTAATTAGCATGTTAGATAGAAAACAGAAATTGAAAATATCATTGCGTTGTAGTATCTTAATGCATGATTTATCTTTCAAATTATGTATTATTAATTTCTACGCATTTGAACTATAACTGTACATTATTCTACAGCTCACTCAAAATATATTTCCTAAATATACATGTTATTGGTCAGTAGATAAAATGAAAACGTTTCATGTGTGTAAAAACAGTATATATGAAAATAGAAAAGAACAAATATATTTTATAAAATCAACTTAAAAAGTGATTTACGGACACAATACATGTTTGCCGTTCATCTCATATTTTTTCATTTTTAAATATTTTGTAATTGAACCAACCTTGTGTTGTCACAGGTTGACCTTGTGATGATCGTCTACCAGCGTCTGTTATAGCTTCAACAACAATTATATACTGTGTCTTCGCAGACAATCCCGATATCTCATATGTTTTTGTGCTAGAATCTAGCTCCGGAGATTCCTTCGCAATAATATTTGCCAATGTCAATGCCTTTACTTTAAATCCGTTCGTGACGTCATAAAAGTCAGGCCTTGCATAGTCCCATGTTACTTTAACAGTGTCAAAACTTAATGCGGTCGCTACCACATCTACAGCTGGTGGTAACACTGAAATAATATACACAATGCAATAATATTTCTGATGACTTTGTTATCATCGTATCTGAAAGCCTTCAAAAATATAATGCTTTGGAATAAATGTCGTAACTGGTTGGAAGGTTGCTGTACGTAGTATCTTTAAATTTGATAAAGAGCGGATAAAATCATGTTGATCAAGGAGAATAATGATGTTAAAATGTACTTAAAGCTATATATCTACTTCCTGAAATAAACAAAGAATGATGTTTGTATTTTTAAAATGAATAATACAAAAATACCTGAATAAATAGTTTGTTTACATATTTCCTTATAAGGGAATGGCACATGCACAAAATCTTTGTCAACTGGTTTGAAACTTTTATTAAAATACCATCACAATATTCTTTTCCTGACCATTAAACATTTGTATTCTGCTTACATACAGTATCCATATGTGAAAAAAGACAGAGACATTTTATATAACAACTCCTTGGAGAATCAATCAAAAGATCGAGTCTGTTATTTCCATCAATTCTTTTTTTCGGGCAGATCCGCCTATTCTATTAAATGAATACAAATTCTATGAGTGAAATAACTACATACGGTTTACATTAACGGTAAAGTCCTGAGAAAATAAAAGAGGGGGTGTCCCTTGGTCACTGACTGTGAGTGAGATCACGTATTTGAACGTCAGTATGCTCAACGGCGTCTTAATAGCTACTGATGTGGCGGGATCTCCAACAAATTTGAAATAGACATCAACTATAAACATAAATAAGAAAATCATTAGGTTATTGTAACAATTAATAGAAACAGCATCGAAACACGAGGATATCTGATTTGTACGAGGGGATGTAGCCTTCGAGTATAAATCAGATTGCCGAGTGTTTTGACGTTCTTTTTCTTTTTTATTATAAGCAAAAATAAAAACACGTTCCCTGTTGTTCTTTCTCTATCGCCGTAATAAGTAAACTCCACACAAAATAAGTCAATCAAGGACATGGTCTAGATGCGAGTAACTAATATATGCACTCAAATTAACGCACTGTGCATGTATATAAATACAATTTAACTCTGACAAATTTTAACAAACATAAAGGTCCCCAAAATATGATACAAGATAAATAATGCATTGTTGTATTTCAAAGTTATTCGATAGCATGCGATTTACACATGAATACAAGTAAAATGCTTTTAACAAACTTAAACAAGATATGTTTGTAAAACATGTATGCCCCCTATCAGCAGCCAATTAGTCATGTGAAAAGGTTATTATGCATGACTTCTGACCTAGTGATCAAACAATTTATAAGGGTTATCAAGTATCTACTGGTCATGACTTTAACCTTTGACCCCTTGACCCAAAACTCAATAGGGATCATCTGCTGGTCACGACCAATCATCATACAAAGTTTGAAGTTCCTTGGCCTAAGCGTTTTTAGTTAATTGATCGGAAACCGTTTTAACATACAAGGTCAATGTGACCTTGACCAACCTTGACCTTTGGCCCCTTGACCCCAAAATCAATAGGTCATCTGCTGGTCATGACCAATCACCATACCATGTTTGAAGTTCCTAGGCCAAAGGGTTCTTAAGTTATTGATTTGAAAGCATTTTTACCTACAAGGTCAATGTGACTTTGACCTTTGACCCCTTAACCCCAAAATCAATAGGGGTCATCTGCTGGTCATGACCAATCACCAAACCAAGTTTGAAGTTCCTAAGCCTAAGGGTTCTTTTGTTAATGATCAGAAACCGTTTTTACCCAAGAGGTCAATGTGACCTTGACCTTTGACCCCTTGACCCCAAAATCAATAGGGGTCATCTACTGATCATGACCAATCACCATACCAAGTTTGAAGTTCCTAGGCCTTAAAGTTCTTTAGTTATTGATCAAAAACCGTTATTGCTTACAAGGTCAATGTGACCTTGACCTTTGACCCCTTGACCCCAAAATCAATAGGGGTCATCTACTGATCATGACCAATCACCATACTAAGTTTGAAGTTCCTACGCCTTAAAGTTCTTTAGTTATTGATTGGAAACCGTTTTTGCTTACAAGGTCAATGTGACCTTGATCTTTGACCCCTTGATCCCAAAATCAATAGGGATCATCTACTGATCATGACCAATCACCATACCAAGTTTGAAGTTCCTAGGCCTTAAGGTTCTTTAGTTATTGTTCGGAAACCGTTTTTGCTTACAAGGTCAATATGACCTTGACCTTTGACCCTTTGACCCCAAAATCAATAGGGGTCATCTACTAGTCATGAACAATCACCATACCAAGTTTGAAGTTCCTAGGCCTTAAGGTTCTTTAGTTATTGATCGGAAACCGTTTTTGCTTACAAGGTCAATGTGACCTTGACCTTTGACCCATTGACCCCAAAATCAATAGGGGTCATGACCAATCACCATACCAAGTGTGAAGTTCCTAGGCCTAAGGGTTCTTTAGTTATCACTCGGAAACCATTTGGTCTACGGACCGACGGACCGACGGACCAACGGACCGACGGACCGACAAGTGCAAAGCAATATACCCCCTTTTCTTCGAAATGGGGGCATAACAATACAAAGTCTCAGTTAGAGTTTAAAAAACTAACATGATTACAGTATAATACATATACTCTCATATTAATTTTAAATCAAAATAAAAAATTGTGCATCTTTTTTAATTGTCATTAAAAATAAAATTATCTTAATCAACTCTAACAGTGACAAGAAAATTAATAATATGACAGATTCAAAAAGTTTGTAGAATACAATCATTCATTTTAGCAAAGCCAAATTTAACAAAATGTTAGTATCATCAAAGAATTAAGACTTACTGTCAGAACCGGAAATGTCGTAAGAAAGCGTGCGGTACTCTTTTTTTACATCCGGGTCACTACAAGCGAATTCAATGATATGTGTATCAACCGCTGTACCGACTTGAATGTCAAGGTTGGTAGATGATATTGTGCAGGTGGGTCGCTCGTTTAAGTCTACAACTGTAAGCTCTACCAAAACTGATGATCGTAACTGCGAAACTGTATCCACAGCCTATAATGTGTTGTATACCATGTGGTTATCAAGACATAATATTTACATCAAAAATTATACTAAACATTCATAGATATGAAATAATATACTCAGGAAATTCTAATATATAATAAAAGGATATCAATTACAATATTATCTTTATAACATAAACTGTTCAATGTATAGCATAATTGACATAACTGAAATAAACAAACTGGCCTACTATAATAACCATAATTATTTGACCAATTTTAAATGTTATAAAAAATTAACAGAAGGGTTGTGTACAAATAGGGTGTTGTTTTAAACAATATAAGCTGAAATCAAGTTGGTTAAAAACTGGTTTGCAATGCAAATAAAAAAACGGCGAGTGACTTCCCTTACCTCTACTTTGAGAGTAATAACACTATCAGCTAATGTTTTTATCCCAGTAACTGTTGTTATTTTTCCAGTGGTACTATCTAATGAGAAATAAGTTTCCCAACCTTTCGTTGACACGTCCCCTATAAAATAATAGTAATACTTTACAGGAAATTAACTGAGTATGACAAAGAAACTATTAACAGCCTTACTGAGATATGTGATACAAAACTTCAATATTCTTACAGTCATTTTGAACAGAAGTCCAGTAATTTAAACGCAGTATAATCGTGTCTCTTAAAATACGCGGTTAGGTACCTCAAAGGGCGCCGTTAAATAAGTATTGTGTGCAGTTACTCTTTATAGTAACTCAGAAGTACATTGTTTTTTTACAAATAATTATTTAAACTGATTTTTAACACTTTGCGTGACTTTTATTTCATGTTTCACTGGATAAAGACATGATATGTTTGGCCGAAGTGTATCTGGATCCTTGTCTCTACTGTATATTTATATATGAAATGTATTTTAACACGCTTCACACTATTCTCCTATCAAACAAATAGAAGAATCAAGTGCATTACATTTTGTATTACACGATATTTTAAAAGCATTTAAAAGGAATGCTTACGTACACGTCACATGACGTCAGATATGACTTAAATAATTTTATCACACACCCGTGCCGATTTTGCGACTCCGTAAATATGGTATTGCACGGCCGTGCATATATTTTGACGTGACGTCATTAGCGTTATTCAAACATAGTGTAAAGACGCGCTAAATGTGAGCGTTATACTATAAGCGCGTCAATGAAAAATGACTCTTATTTCACTTTAAATGGTCTTTATTTTGGGTATGTGATAAATAGAATATTAAATTCGTGTAAGTTCATTACTGAATTTATTGCACTCGTTGAATAAAATAATATTATGCTCGCCAGAGGCACGCATAATATAATTTTATTCAACTCGTGCAATAAATTCAGTATTGAACTTACACTCATTCAATATCCTCTATTAATTAAATGACGTCAGGTAAATTATTTCTACGCTTAATGTTGTACAACATACATTTATCATCCCTTTTTTATTAAAATATTAGACAAATATATTTTTCTTGCATTATAGTATTATAATGCACGGTTTATCGTTCAAAAGCTTTGTACTTTATCACTGAGCTTCGTGATTATATTCCTGGTCATTTGAAAATTGTATTGCAACAATGCACTCAGAATTGATATCTATTTCCTAACTAACATTAATACAGTGAAGTACATATAATAGATATGTTTCTATCAGGTAAAACTGTATATACCTAAAACATTATACTGTACTTTTCCAATCAGCTGATTTTGTTTTGCCTCTACCATAACGACCTCTGTGCCTGTCACTGTTGTCTCGGGTATAGTTTTAGTATATTTAGATTCAGTAAAGATTGGCGTTGCCTTGGCATAGCTAACAACTATGTTGTCCGTCCATTTATAAATGCCTAGACCGTTGTTTACTTCTACTTTTACCTATGAAAAATATAATATTTTTTAAAAAAATCTATGTAAACAAGTAAATATAGTCAATAGTTAATGATAAGCGGTTCTGCATTTTCTTTTTATGAAAATTTAAAATTGAATTTACGGCTATTTTTACCTATATGTAAGAAGATATTAAATCGTTATATCAAAATATACCACTTTTCACCAGAAACATGCATATGGTATATTAAAACCTTCTCAAACCCTTTCATATGAAAGATATCATTTTACCTCGAATACACCGCTAACTAGAAGTGTGTAGCACAACTCAATGGTTCCTTGCGAATTGCTTTTCAAATTGAAACCTGTCGTGTAATTACTGTCTTTCATCAAAGTGTATTGAAGATGATCTATGCCGGTTTTGGTAGGATCTGTACAGTCCATTTTTATTGTGACACAATTACCCTGTATCCAAACATCAGGTGGGATGATGACTGGCTTACATGTCGCAGAAATGTTTCCTGAAAAGAAAACGTCTTATTTACGTTCTCGTGGAAGTTCAGTACTTTTTTTTACGAAAGAAGATCATTTAGGCTTCGGCATTTCAAAGAGATCTCTTAAGAATTCACATCTTTGTAGATGAATATTCATTACGGACTTTAACTGTTTAAATGTTGAGTTTTGTTAAAGTCGGACCCAACGAGCATAGACGATTAATTACAATTACCAATGTCGTCTATTAACGGGCTCATATCGGACTCTCTGCAACATTTTTCAATTGTGCCCTTACGATTTTCATTTTTCCTACTTAAAAGGGTATATCATGGAAATAAATAAACAGAAACGAGTTCATGCTTATGTACGTATAAGCATGACAATGCTTGCCACTTCGGGTGTTTGGTTTGCTAGTTAATCCTGTCGGGATCACTTCAGGCTTCTTTGTTCTTGACATTTCCTAAATCCAAACATTTCGGCCGGGCTAACAGTTTCTACTCATTTTGATAATAATTAGTATGTCTTAAGAAAGATTTGCTAGCTGCAACAAACGAGTTATGTATCTTTTACAGCCGTATTTACTTAGAAATTCCATTTGAACAACTAATGAAGTTTGTTACTTAGAGAGTTGCATAAAAAAAGTCGGACAATATTCATAATTATTGATATTTCCTAGTCCAATACCAGCATTATAAAATAGAAAATTTTGTTTATGTTCAAAATACAATAAAAGAATAATCATAAAAGTCTAATAATATATAAACAATAAAACAAATGTTGATAGAAAAAGCAAATTGGGAAATAAAAAACACTTTTATCCCCCTAAACCTAGATGTTTTAAATAAAAATAAAAACCAAGAAATCATATATTGAATGACTGGAATCGATGTTCTCCAGAATATATAGTAAAACTCACTTAATACATCAACAGTCGCTGTGATGGATGTTGATAATGGGGGTGTGCCTGTATCACTAACTTGCACCTGAATATCAGCATTTCCAACGTTATATATCAAATCATCTCGAGGAAGAGGTTTTTGCACAATCAGTTTACCATCTCCGGTTACGTCGAAATACCCATCTGAGAAGTAAATACACCAAAATATAAGTATGGGCACACAGACAAAATTCTAGAAATATGACTGATCTTTTGTTACATTATATATGTATGTGCTTACATGTATTATTTCCACATACATTTAATATATATCATTTAATAGTTATTTATTAAATGTAAGAAAATCAGTTTTACTTCTAAAAATTCTTTGAATACTTTTATTTCGTAAAGCGTTGATTTCAATCAATGGGTTTTTTCAGACATTTTCTTAAACTCACCACTGTCTCCGCCCACTATCTTATATTCCAGCTTGACGTTGTCGGGATCTATGTCAGTATCATAACACTGTAACATGAGAACAACCTTATTCTGCTCAGCAAGAATATCGATAGTTGCTACATATTGTGACGGGTCACAAAACGGCGCTGAGTTCTCGTCTAGAATGTTGATTGTCACCGTTGTTGTCGTCTTTAAACCGCTTTTGTCTACAGCCTGAAAATTAAGAATCATATAAATTATTTACAAATTCAAGGAAATCGCGACATAGGAAAATCAATTCATTAAATATTATCTGTGTACAATTCTTTTGAATTGCCAATGGAACCTTAAGTAATATCTCTATGTCACACATTACCGTTGTTAAAGTTGATATGCAAACAATATGATTTACTTAAATTTTGATATTCTTTAACTTTGACTCGACCAATGGACCTGTTGCACTTTACGTTTTAAGCAGAAATTAAATATATATTGTATGATTATACTTATATTTCAAGCAATCACTTACCGTTACTGTATACTTGTATATATTTCTTACAGTTGCATTAAACTTTCTGTAAGCATAAAATGTCTTGACAGCTTTTAAGAAAAGAATTGAATCACTTAAAGCTCCTCCAAAATCTGCATTATTTGATGCTGAAATAAACATAATAGTTTCTTTATTATTTATTTTACAGCCAAACAAATCATTTTCTCATACTATCTTGAATACAATACATTATTGAAATAAAAATCTAGCATTCGGTAAGATTTTTTGTAAAATACACACCTTCCACTGTTATGTCATCAAGCTCGTAACTTGGGTCCCCCATGCCGTCATCTGGATCAGAGACACTTATTTTCAAAATTTCCTTATTCAGTTCGAAATTCTCTGAAACGTCAATGCTGTAGGAATCTGGTGTAAACACCGGTGGCTCATTGACATTCCTGACCGTGTTATGAAAACTGACAGTCGTGGATGCAAGACCATTTGTTACTGAACCAATTAACTAGAATATAAATTGAGTAAACGGTAAGTATGTCAATAGATATAAACACAAATGAATGTTATATGTATATAACTTAATTTGATGTAATCCGGTGATTGTTTTTTTTTAAATTCAGTCACCGGATTGGTAACTCAGATATACAATGTATTTATTATAAGAACATGCACAATAACAAATTTTAAGAGACAAACTATGTTTATTTTGTGTGTTAATTTATAAGTGATAAATGAAAGAACATAATTTGTATTTAAAGAATCTTATTCACGCTAATTAAGATATATATGAAATCTCTGTAATTTTCATTTGGTTTGTGAAAGAGAACACAGGCGTGTAAGAAGTCGTCTCAAAAGGTTAAGAATGAAATAAGTTCCAATAATAAATATGCAAAATATTTTGATGGATTGTTTGCAAAAGAATGTATGATCAATTTATCATAATTTGAGCCGCGTCACGACAAAACCAACATAGTGGGTTTGCGACCAGCATGTATCCAGGCCAGCCTGCGCATCCGCGCAATCTGATCAGGATCCATGCTATTCGCTATCAGTTTCTCTACTTGTAATAGGGTTTGAAAACGAACAGCATGGATCCTGATCAAACTATGCGGATGCGCAGGCTGGTCTGGATCCATGCTAGTCGCAACACACTATGTTGGTTTTGTCATGACGCGGCTCATTTTAACTTAAAGGGAATAATTACTATATATTCTCCAAACTTGTTCTTCAGACTTGATTTGATACAAGCAGAAAGAGTAAGCTTTCCTGTCTCTTTGTTCGGTTTAATTTCAAATAAATTATTTTCTGCTCCAGATCCAGACTGAGATTCTAACGTGACATCACCCTCTGTTGGATCTGTACAAATAATGTCTGTTTCAACACAGATGCCAACTGATTTTGTTTCGTCCAAAGCCGCCTCTACCTTTTCTGGTGTACATACTGGCGAAACTTTATCTGAAAAAAAAAGAAATATTTTTGTAACTACCTTTATTCATGCAATGTATAAATAGTAAGTATTAAATGCCAGACATAAAAGAATAGCTAATAGGGTTTTACCGGATTCAGTTGTTTAACTTTTAATTATTAATATAACTGAAAAAAATTTCAGCTAGAAGTGTATCAAAGCAAAAACAATATCTTACTGTCCACTTGAACTGTGATAATAACGTGCGTTGAGAAATCCGGATCGGAGGATTTGTCGGAGTCAGTTACTTTGACATTAACCTCGTGCTGTGTTACGTCACGTGGCAGTTTACTTGACAATGTAACATACCCTGTACTGTTAACACTAAAATCTAAAATATTAACAAAAACAATAAGTATGATATGGGTGTTTGATTTAAAATTGAAACGCATGCATTTTTAAGAAACAATATATGGAATGTAGAATGACAACAAATTCTAGTAGTTCAGTTAAATTGAATGATTATTATTAAATCACGTATGAAATGAACTGTGAAAAATAAATACAAAATTTACGAAGCATGTGTACTTACAAGGCGATGTTGTACTGTACTCAAGGACACGAAAACTTGGTGACATGTCTGCATCAGAACAGTCAAGTTGTCTTATCACGGTTCCTATGGCTGTGAGCAGTTGAATACTGTCTGTTACATCAGTTGGGGAACATACAGGCTTTTCATCATTCACGTCAATGATATCAATCTGAACAGACGCTGTGGCGGAGAGTGGTACTGATGCGCCATCTACGGCCTTAAATGATAATTATTTTCACTATGAGTTAACAAGTAAGAGACCATTGTATGATACTATGAGGATACATGATATTTGATTAAGAAATTGTTTGATTTGTCTTTGTATTCGAGTTATAATGTTTTCACGTTATTATTTATATGCATGTTCACATTTTGTGTTTGGCAAAATTGTACAAAAAGGACGAAATAAAATAGGAAAATTGCAGACTTGGTTTGTTGGAGGTTTGTTTGTTCATAAAAGATAATCGAAAAAAAGCAATATCTTTCACGCCACCATAGCACCGGTGCATCGGTATTAAATCTTAAACACTAGTATAGTTTAAAAAAGGTTGAAATTTGCTTTGATTTATATCAAAGCCACACACGCATAGTTAAACCTTATTTAATGAATTTAAATTTGTTTACAATCAACATAAAAATTTGGTACATAATTGTACAAAATATCAAATGGCATAGGCATCGAGTTTTCGTTACCTTAGATTAAGCTCCGTCCAGTGACAATACATGAAGCCAAAGAAAATCTCCGAAATTATTGAAATAATGGTTATGATAAAAAATAATCAAACACTGACCTGAACTATATATGTATACGAATTGGAATCTGATCCGTCTGCATCTAATGATGAGATAATTCTTATTTCCCCGTTATCCTTATTTAATGTAAATAAACCAGACTCTTCGATATCTGTAACAGCAAAAAGAATTATCAACAATCTTATGATAAATTTCCATTTGTCTAAACATATGAACATCGATTAATGTGCAGTCATACAAACGCGATTGTGCGAATATTCGGAACTAAAGAAAATGTCATTTAGTAAACCTCTGTATGTAACACATGTAATCTGAAATAAATAAATAAAATGTCAAACAAGGAAACGTTGTATGTCGTTCAACACACAAAAGAAATTGCTAAAGTCTCAGTTCGGTTAAGCCTTCTCATTAATGACAGTGACTTATGAATACATTTTCCACGCTTCTGACATTGGCTGAAGTAGGGTATGAACATGATAAAACTTGAAATTAAGAAATGTTTTCTGATGCGCTGAAATGGTGGTGAAAATGAAATATTTAATATATAATCTCATGTTGTCCCATGAAAATATGGTAGTGTTGACTAATATTGTTGCAAGAGGTCAGGTTAAATGTAAAATGTTTATTGTCTTTTTAACAGTTCTTGACAAATGACAAATCAATGCATTATTAATTATTTTCCGTCGATATATCTGTGTATTGTATCTGGACTTAAATATTTAAAAATTATCAATCAAACATAGTTTACCTTTTGAAAGGTAAGTAAGTTTTCCAAAAGCACCAGAGTCTTGGTCTGTAGCTAATAAAGTGGTTACGACCGTGTTAATTGTGGCACTTTCAGGAACTTTGTAAGAATAAAGTGTTTCTGAAAATTCAGGAGGATCATTTTTATCAACCACTCGAACAATGCAATTAAGAGTGGTCTCTCCGTGCGATGACTTTACAACCACAACAATCTGAAAACACAGAAGCATTACTATTTTTAAGCGAGATTAGATATACGCAATGATCAGGAATTAAACTTCACACAATCATGATACTCAGTTACAATATTAAGACGGTGTGTTCTCTTGTGAGGGTAGGGACTTAGGTCGCTGCAACACAGTTTAAGACATATGGCGACTTTCCAGCTGTACTGTTGAGGACCACCTCTGATTTTCCTCTGTGCATTATTTCAGGCACAAACGGGCACCTCAGTAGAACCACTGAGTTTCGTAAACTAGCTACTAGTATATTAAATACCAAGAAAGTAAGTTGTAAAACAATTATTTAAAACAATGGTTAAATTATAAACCTTCCATGGTCCATATTTTCCTTGAAGGCTCGTCTGTGTGCATAAATTCAGGTTGAAATTAGTGCTGTCTTTTTCATAAAATAGTGCAGTACCATTGCCAGAAGTGATGTTATACTGGAGAGATTCACCGCGAACAATATCCTGGCAACCGATCTCTTTTAACCGACACACGTCTTTATCTGTTGCTTCACTTATGGTAATTTCAAAATCGGTCATGTTACATGATGGAGGAAAGTCAGCTAGAGTGACAAAAATATATTAAAGTCGTTTTAGTAATTTGAGATTTTTTTCGATCATGATGCATATTCTAAATAAATAATTTGAATAAAAAATATTATATTCCAAAGGAATAATATCACAATTAAAAAGAAGTTTAACTAAATAATGTTTACATAAATATATAATTTATTCATGTTTATTTATCTATTATTTTGATAATAATTTAGCAAAGTTTGATTTTATTTCGGTACCAGCAGTACTTTTCCTATAGTTTGTCCAATAATCATTGTCTTTTGAGATAATTTCTGTGTAATTTGTGATAGTTCCTAAATATTCAATGCGATATGTTTATTAATATATATTAAGAAATATCTGTTAAAGTGAGAAGAAACAATATCACACTTGTCTTGTGATGACTAGAATATGTACTTACTTTTAACAGTTACAGTGACTGTTACAGTTACAGACAAACCGCCACCGTCTTCAACCCTTACAGTAAACGACAAAATATTGTTAGTTCCAGTTATATCAGACAGAGCTTTAGCAAGCTTGATTTCACCCGCATTCATGTTGAAATAAGCTGAAAAATATCACAAAATATCAAAAAGAGCTTTTGTAATGTTTTTTTTAAATGTTACATAGAATAATTTATCTTACAGTGGTAACATACGTTTTAGGTACAAAACAAGTGTTCTGTTTTTCTCTATTTTAGCTTAATGTTTGCAAAATATGTTAACATATTATAAATGTGACGAAACGTATCTTAAAGTAACAAGCACGACATAAAATCTAAACATAATGTGAATTAGGCCAAATGCAGCAATGACATTCTCATATAACTGATGTATATCTACTTTGTTTTATACTCACAAATTACATCAGACTGGCCCTCGAGGGTATATGTTAATGTTTTAAAATTTGCATCAGTATCTTTGTCGGTACAAATGATGTTGTCCAGTATTGTATCGGCACTGTCAGTGGCGGAAGCTTTAATATCCATTTTAGAAGGTGCACATTCAGGAGCATCGTTTTCATCCTGAACACTGACAATGATTTGAATATTTCGTGGACCATAAGATGATTGAACTTCCAAGTTTAACTAAAACAAAATTAATGTGGCATGAATTATAGATGACGAAGGTAACGTTTACACACTTAATCTTTATCTAACGGATAATTGTATTGACATCAATTAGTTAGGAACACCCCTATGCATATTTTTTTCAGTTTCGGGCGCCCAGTTAAGGGGTAACCCCATTTATTTTCCCCGTCATTGGCATAATAGGGGTCGAGGAAGCATCCTACCACTATGCATATTAAATACTTTTGTTTATTCAATTATTCATGTTTAACTACAACAATTATTGATATCTCGACGTTATCATACCAGCGAATATAAAATTGTCCTTTTTATTAAAGGACTTTGACTTAAAGAACCAATCAAAGATTTAGATTTGATGCATGTCAACGATATATATATAACGCTATGAATAAAAACTGCTTTTTTTGTTTGTTTTTTTTTTGTGTTTTTTTTTATTTGCTTGCTTTGTAAAATAAATTGTAATTATATGTGTGAAAAAAAAATGTTTAATGGCTAATTTAAAAGCCGATATTTTACTTACATGCCATTGGCCGACTTTGCCTTTTAAACTTTCCCGTGTACAGAATGAAATTTTATCGTTGTTAGTTGCATCTGAGTTTAATGTAAAAAGCTGAGTTCCATTGCCGCTGGGCTCTTTGAATAGTAATGTTTCACTTTTAACAGGATCGTTACAATTCACTATTACTTCAAAACAGTAGTCTAAACCACTTATTTCGGATACATTTTGAATCACTTCGTATTTTTCGCATTCCGGTGGATAAGATGCTAAAATGAAACACAGAGACACGTGACTTACTCGAATATCTGTCAAGTTCAATTATAGCAATTATTACACTTATTATTTATTGGTTTTTAAACTTAAATAGGGGCATGATTGTACATAGATTACATAATAAGGATTAACTCTATAATCAACTGGTATACTGGTACAAGTATATACTTTTTCAATTATACAAAAATTATCAATTTAATAACAGAAGCTGTATATATAACTACATCCGTTTTTTTATTCATTCTATTTATAAACTTATGATATTTAGAAAATTTATAGGTAGTTTTATTAGCAACTGTAATTGATAGCACATATTTGATTGATTCTGAACCTTCAGCAACTTACTAATGACATTGACTCGTATTTGAACGACTTCTGAAAGGCCTCCGCCGTCATTTACGCGTGCAGTGAATGTAAGTTCTGTACCACTTGTAAATAATGTTAATTCCTGTTTCAATTTAACTTCACCATTAGAGTCAATTTGGAAATAAGCTGAAAAAAAGAAAATCCATTAAATATATAAACCATATGACTAAAGGAAAATAAAGAGAAGAAATCTTGCCTTCGTGATTGCGTATGGTATTCCTGATACTTAAACACTTTTCTCTAAAAATATCTTGTTTATACATGCATTTTATTTTAACAGCATCTATATATTATATATGTCCGTAATGACTTCACAATTAATCATCCTAAAAACATATATTTTCTACATTACCTAATGTATTCACATCTCCTTCAAGACTGTAAGATAGAGTGTTATAGGACTGACTGAAGTCATCATCTGTACATGGCAATATGGTGACAACATAATCTACAGGGTCCCTTACAGTTGCACTAGTGTTAATTGCAGACTGTGTACATTTAGGTTTTTCGTTTATGTCCGTAACTGTTATATTTAAGTTTATCGTATCCGATTCCCCAGCAGAATCCTCTACCTAAACGGAAGAAAATTATAGTTAAATATGAGCTTGATTATTTACCAAGAGGGGTTCTAAACGATTTTCAAAATTTCAATTCTCGATGAGTGTAATTCAAAAAGTACAGAAATAAAATTTGAATATTATAAAAGAAATTTTTAAACTTGATGTAACTATTGCATTTTGACATAGTCATATGAAGAAGCATAAGCTAAAATTAATCTAATCGTAGATCCAATCTGATTTGATTTTTAAAATATCCTAGTAAAAACAAACTAAGTGTTGGGCAATAAATTACATATTCTAGGCAAAAAAGCGGTTAATAAAGATGTACCATATTATCAGCAAAAACAATTTGTTTTGAAGACAACACAGTAAAAGATTACCTTTAACTCTAATCGGTAGTTATGACGTTGTTTAGGGCGAAGATCTTGTGATAAAGTCACAGATACTGCATTTTTGAAGGAGTTAACACTAGCAGTAAATGGTAATGCATCTGCTGTTTCTATGGCATCAATATCTGAAACAAAAACAGTTTTGAAAATCTCCCTTTCCTCTGATATAAATTATTTATGCAATGTACATTATACAACGATGTGACTTTTATGAAACAAAATTTAATTTCTCAATGTTGAATCAGCAGATAATTCAACAAAGCAGGCATGTATATGCTTGAAATAATGACTAATTGTATTTCAAAACGTTTTTCAGACGTATAACATTAGGAAAAACGTATGACTAAAATAATGTGTAAACCTTTAATTGATGCAGTAAGATTGTCAAGGTTGAGGTCAATAGATATATCAGGATCAGCCACAGGGAAAACAGCGTCTGTAAGTGCCATTGGTGGGGTAGATTCCTCTGATATTTCTATGTTTATTTGTTCTACATCTGTGACGAATGTGGGTGGATCATTAACATTTGTTATGGAGAATGTAACTTCAATGTTTTCAACACCGTATGCATTTTGTACTTCGATTGACACCTGGAAATATCAAAGCAGTTACGACTGAAAATTTATTTAGCGCCTGCCAAACATACATAAAGTTCGTAAAAAGAAATCTACGTACAAACATATACATATTGTCGGTTATTCATTAAAGAATATTATATTTTACCTTTTCTTCCTTTCCAGCTTTTTGGTCGAGAGAAGCTGCCGTGCATACTTTGACGTCTGTTATATTAGAAGAAACACTCTCACATAAAACATTGAACAGGTCTGACGTATCTGTGCATGTCTTAGTTATGTTAGCTCGATCATCACACGTGAATGTTGCATCACTGCACGTACCAGTGTCTGCCTTCTCGCTAACTTCTACTGGCCTTTGTAAGTCAGATTGTGTACATCGGGGATTGAAATCCGCTAAAATATTGTAAAATAAGTTCATAATTATTTTGATGAAGTAATTTTTTTAAAGTTCGTTTAGTAAATGGTTAAATACTTTCTAACCGGACATTATGGTCCAGTCTAAACATTTATAAATAATTATCCGTTGTAAGACAATTATGATTGCAATGCATGGGGTGTTTTATTGTGTTAAATCCTGTTGATATAATTGATATCAATATATACAAAATTATTGTTCCATATAAAATCTGTACATATCACTTAACGTTATTATTTTTTTTATAAATGCATATAATTTGCAAAAAAAAAGAAGTTCGATTTATTGTGTGGATCTCATATATAAAAAGAAATAGGTTTTGAGAAATGCAGAATTTAAAGTACGTTATATTTGTAAGCGCTTTCAATGCTTTTACATATCTTCAGACAGTAACGTATAATATAATCATAACTGTACACATTTATAGCAATGACGTAACGTTATAAAAGTACGTGCAACGTAAAAATAAGACGTTGCGCGGCAAATAAAATATTACTTTACTTATTTATGTAATCTTAATATTAATGAGCTTAATGGGTAAAAATATGTCAGATAAACGTAACTTTAAACCCATTTGGAAATGGAAAAGTATTAGTATATATGAATTCCCAAGTTAATATTATTGAAATATATATTGCAACATTATACGAAAAAATATACGAAACGTACCTGCAAACACAACGAAATGAAACGCAGAAGATATTGGCACAGAAACTGTTACATCAGCACGAACATTAATTCTAAATCTGCCCTCTGCATCTGTTGCAGCTGGATTATAAAATATTGTACCGTCTGCCTCTATTACGACAGGGCCGCCTTCGTCTTAAAAAATAAAAAAAAACAGTTTCCTTATGTAGTTAAAAATACTTTTGTTTCATTTAAGTATGTTCCAAACTCGTAAATGTTATTTTAAGTTTTATCAATATTGTGAAAATAATAGTGAAAAATAGGGTATTTGATTGATGACAAATGTGTTTGTTTTCGCTATTTACCGATATATTTATAATTTATTTGTAAAATCTAAGAAAGGTTTTTCTGATGTAATTGTACAACTGTGTTTTTATTAAGCTGTTGTAATGCATCATGTTTACTTGTAATTTCAAAGACAGGAGTTACTGAACTCCCTGCTGCTGTGCACACTATCTGACCAAGATTTACACGATCTGTCGGTACAGGGTCAAGATGAACCATAAAAACATCTTCAGGAACAGTACATTCTAGTTGTTCATATACAAACTTTACATTGATATCACTTCTGTCATCAAGTTGAGGAACACCATTATCGGTTGCCTGGAAAAAAGGATATCGAGTTGATCATCGACAGATCTGATGAAGTAATTACATTTAATTGAAATGTTATAAATTCCGTTTAGTTTATATTACAAATAAGTCGTTTTCAATTTATGAATACTATTATAATTTTCAATAAATTAAAGATTTTTAACTTTATTTGTCAAATTCTAAACAAAATCTGGAAAGTTTCACAAGTTTGTTTCTAGGTAAAATCAATGCCATTCAGATTTTATGTTTTGCACGATTTACTTTATTAATCATTAGATGAGAAGGTCCTAGCCGCGCATGAAAAATAACGGCATAACTTCACTATCGACATGAATATATCCAGTCAAACCAAGTTTTCGAAGTTTCATTTTTTGCGTAATTGGCGATTTTAAAGTTCCCGTTCCACTTTGTAGTTAAAAAATCGGATGGTGTATACATTCTGGCAAAGCTTTGATGCCCATAATTTACCGTGTAATCATTTTACATACCTTAATTTGCACAGTAAATATATCACCAAAGATGCCTGGGTTAGACTCATACAGCTGGATAGGATTGCTAATAACAAGATTATCGTCTGCAATACTAAATTTATCCTCAAAATCAATTCTGCCGACATCTGCAATATATAATGAATTTATTGTAGCAAATCATAAATGTTTAACTATACAAGACAATGTGTATCCAATTTTATTGTTAATGAAATATATTGACAAAATATTATAACCACATTATCTTCATCACAGTGTTACTTGTTAATAAAGTTGCGTTGAGTTAGATATGCTGGTATAGATTTGACATTTAAAATATCTGTTAAAAGTATCGATGACTTTGTTTACTTTTAATTAGATTAATATTTAAATACATGTACAGTAAGTAAGCTATTTGATAAAAATCAACATTTAAATTATTTCAAAATCGTACTCACTAGTAATTGTAAGTGTTAATGTTTGGTTGTCTATGTCAGATGCTTGTATAGGAACGTTCACCGTATCCGCCATTGTAACTACATTATAAGTCAAGGTTTCGTTCAGTGGACTTATCTTCGGGTGTCGGTTGAAAATGAAACATAATTGGAACGTTTCATTAATCCATGGTCGATAATCAATGTCGTCTGCTTCAAATGCTTTAATGTTCACCTAAAATGAAACAGTTGATGAGAAGATTTTATTCAGTGAAAATAAAGTATATGAACACAATGCTACAGTTTTATATATAAAAAAACATAACGTCATGCCTCCTAAAACTCCTCTTAAGCGTAAACTTGTAATTGTCCCTGAAATCGATAACTCTGACGATGATTTCATGCCAACTCCGAATAAATGTTCGCGTGCAACGGGATTTGGCGTGTTTTGAATTGATTAAATTGATTGTTATTGAATGTTAAAATAGAGAGTAAATAATGATGATGATGTTATTATTGGTGTTATTGTTGTTGTTGTTGATGATGATGTTGATGATGATGATTGATGCTTTAAATCTAAAGAAATAATAAATATTTGGTATATTATTTCCATGAAGTACTTTTGATATCGCTTTATTAAATCAAATAATAAATACTAGAAAGTACCGATTAGAAAATTGTGAATGATACTATTCTTAACGCAATCGTTAATTCAAACAGCAACTTTCAAGCAAGCTCTTAACTTGTGATCGTTTCTAAATCGATCACAGCTTCTCAAATTAGAATATAACACATTAGGGATACGCAAGATTAAATATATCTGTTGTAATGCATTATTGTCTGTGACCATTTGGCGCAAAAAATTACAATATTTTATCCCAAACATTGTCGCATAAATAGTTTTTAAAAGGAGAGTTTGAGAAAAATGATTCGAATTTGTACATAAATACGAGACAATGTCTATTTAAATTGCTCATATCCTAATATTTTTACCGCAAATCTAGTGAAACAATTGCCTAGTGTAAACATACAAACACATCGTGTTAAAGTTATGTACGTGTTACGTGGTAAGTTTTGTTAACGTTGTCTCTAATGTATGCATCATTTTGTAAATCGTTAGCCGTTTTCCACTGCAGTATTTTTAATTATGCAAGGTATTGAATCATATAACGTTACAAATCTTACACAATCTTCCGGAATAGTTGGTGCAGCATTTGTGTATGTCAGACAGAATTTTCCTGGTCCAGTGTCATCTACACTTATATCATTGGCACCATCAAATCTGTACGTAATATCTTCATTAGGATTGTAACACACGTTCTCTGATGTTGAGTTCTTCTTCGGCAAACATACCATTCTGTCTGACAAAGTCGGGCTTGACTCAAAATAAATGAATTTCTTTCTCATTCCTCTACATGAAATTGGTGGATCCTCTGAAACGAGTAGAGTGTATAGTTACAATGTAGTTTTAACTAGTTTTTGATCTCTTAGAATTGAATTTAAACGTTAAAGAGAAACGGTCTATTAAGATTCATGTTTCCAATCTAATGCTTATTTAGGAATCAAATTACATCAGCGCTACACTTGAAGTTACAATATTGTGTCAGCAGGTGCGTATTTGACACTGTGTTGTTTCTGAATTACACATTTATCATCGGAAGTTTTTATTGTTGTTGTGTTGTTATTTATGGTGTTGCTGTTGCTTCTGTTTTTCCTTTTGTTTCAGAAATAAGTTTTTTTTTGCTAATTCCCCATCAAATTCATTTTATAAAAAGTCAAACCTTCATCGCAATTTGCTCCTTTCTTTCCAATAGGACAAATACACACATGTTGTTTGTCATCTTCTAGGTTAGCAACACAATCAAGCTGTGTAGCCTCGGTGGGTGTCGGGCAAGGGTTTGGCACACATGGATCCACTGCAATAGAAAGTATTACAATAAGATATGGATTTATAATGTTATTTGTAAAGACGTAATAAAACTACTGTAATTTTTATATATAGGAAAAGAAATTTGATGTCATATGAAATAGCATTCTGCTAGTGAATTATAGTTTTTTTAAAGAAGTAAATATGACATACCGATTCCGCTACATACGGGCTGGATCCCTGTCCACTCTTTGTTTGACTGGCACTCTCTAACAGCGTCACCACTTGTAATCTCGAAACCTTGGTTACAAGTGTAACTAGCTGTGGAACCAAATTCGCCAATGTTGTCTGACAAAGAAACTCGTCCGTTAAGAGGCGGGGCCAGAGATGGACATGCTTAAATAGAAAATGGAATTGATGATAATAAGCGTGTTAAATAAATACATGTATCATCTATGCTCTGCTGAGGTTGAAAAAGACTAACTTAACTTGAGCTAGCATTTCCTCATAGTGTCGTGAAGTTTTCTGGACATCCTTCAATTGGTTAAAATTATTTTGTTAATTAAATCACAACTGATTTACAAAATGATTTGAGTGATACATTAATTCATTAATCAATCTACTAAATGGATAACTGTGGACCTGTCGGTTAAGTGGTTAAGTATTTTTTTATCTTAATAATGTTATCAGGAAAATACTTTACGAATTTCACAATTATAATAATTTGTACATAACAAGAAAACGGGACAATAGTTGCAAACTATGGTCTTTTAGAATTCGTTTAACCAAATGGTCTTGCTTGACCTCATAGCGCTGCTTTTAATACTCCAGAAACATTTCATTACTAACCTATCTTTTTACAGGTAGGCGCTGACCCTTCCCAGGTGCTATCATTTAAGCAGCGTCTTCTAGATGGGCCTTGTATTTCAAACCCAGTAATACATGCATATATCGCTTCATACTCCGTTGTTTCTGTGTTAGGTTTCACCTCTACTATACCATCAGCTGGGTCATCCAGCGCAGGACATTCTGTAATAGAGAAATCAGAAGGATCATAAATGAATATAAAACAACATATATTTATATTCAATTTGAGCCGCGTCACGACAAAACCAACATAATGGGTTTGCGACCAGCATGGATCCAGACCAGCCTGCGCATCCGTGCAGTCTGATCAGGATCCATGCTGTTCGCTATCAGTTTCTCTACTTGTAATGGAGTTGGTAAGCGAACAGCATGAGTCCTGATCAGATTGCGCGGATGCGGAGGCTGGTCTGATTCACGCTGGTCGCAAACGCACTATGTTGGTTTTGTCGTGACGCGGCTCAATTATATTTTCATCTTCAACGATATGTTGTTGTTAAACATGCGATCAAAATTCCTGGTTATACTAGTGTATCATTTGTTCGCATAAAATAATTGCTTGAAACAAATTTTAAAAGCCTTTTAAAAAGAAATCTAATTGAAAGGGGAAATTTATAATAAAACAATCGTCGTGTCTTACAAGAGTAACTAATAAAACAATACTAATCAACTGTAACAACTAGTTGTATTTTAGGAATCAATAACTATATTACAATTCAACACATGACTTAAGTTTAAGCAAAAAGAATGCCTTATGAAAGTACTGATGAAATTTGATATTTAAGGGTAAATGATTTGAAAATACGGTGGACAATTATTTATAAAGGAACTGATTGAAGGTAAAGTCTTTCTATGAATCAAAAGAGAATATGTCGTTTAAAACTGTGAATGTATATATCTTTTGTTATATTATTAACCAAACATTGAAATGAGCTTTACAAGAAAACGCTGGTGTACAAGGATTTTGCGAATATTTGTAGTTCTAACCATTTGTTACTTCTGTTATCACGCATTGTTTAAATGTAATTGGACACCGTTTCCGGAACAATTAGCGCGAAATCAAACATGGCAGCCAGTAAACCAAGCGAGGACCGCATATGTGTTTTCAGCATATTTGGACGACGAAAGGCATGTAGTGATTATTATTGGAGCTATGACTAAAGATCGTGTTCCATATATATGTCAGTTATGGACCTTTGGCGAGGATGGTGTATCGCTCAAAAAGGACATAAGTTACCCAAGAGCTCATATTCCTCCTGAACACCACGATAAAAGGTAAGATTAAATCGCATATCAGCTCAAATGATCTACACATTTACATTGTCTTCAACAATTTAAACTCTTAGTAATAGTACTTTCAACAACTATTCATTCTTTAAAGATGTTCACATAGACATATAAATTTCAGGCCTTAATAGAAAGGAATGACGGTTGACATTCGTTTAATGTCTTTCAGCACATGCAAACTTCTTAATAACTTTCCAAAATCTGCTTGATTTGAATTTAAACGTGTTTAACCCTATTAAAATGTGTTTGTAACAATATTACCATTAACGCTTATTTTATATTACAGGTATGCAATGACCTTATTTGAATGTCCGTACAGATCGGCCAAATATCCCGCGTACGTGTCTTTGATTTCAAATTCGTGTGAAACGCCATTAAATCTCATACACATCGAAGAAACAAAAGTGTCTAGAGATTATAAAATGACTTTTACTGTTTGTCTTTCACCACTGAACTTTCATTACAGAAGAGCTTATGAACTAGTTGAGTGGATAGAACTGAATAGAATTTTGGGCGCTGAAAAGTTCATTATTTATAATCATAGTTCTGCATCAAATGTTAAAGATGTTCTTGAATATTACTCAAAACAAGGATACGTTGAGGTAATACAATGGCAGTTACCAATTCCAGTTGACATATTTCCTGTTTCCAAAACTCAAGCCGAAATTCACTATTTTGGACAAGTAGCTGCCCTTAATGATTGTCTGTATAGGAGTAAACGCCATTCTGAATTCATCGTTAACATAGATTTAGACGAAATAATTGTTCCACATAGTAACACTTCTGTTAATTGGCAAACCATGATCAATGAAATTGCCATTGAAAATGCAAAGGTATTTGTTTTCAAAAATACGCATTTTAGGAAAGATTGGCGAAACTATGAATATTCTGAAAACAAATTCAGGACAAATATAATACAAAAAGCTAAACAATTTAAGTTAACAACATTACAAACATACAGACGTGAGAGAAACATCGACATCAAAGGGGTTAGATCAAAATATATCGTTCGTACAAATGGTATACATTATCTGATGGTACATTTTGTCTTGGATTTACCATCGGCAGTGGATGTAACGGTTTCAGAAGACATTGGTCTTTTACACCACTACAAGAACTTTGGACATTATATAGAGCAGAACAATAGTAAAACGGACTATACAGTTCTAGATAAGTATGGAGAAGTACTTATTCAGAATGTTGAGCGAGTCTGGAACGAATTATCGGATGTTAATATGGTCGTGTAGATAGACCAGAAATGTAGATAACAGAGACAAGCAGCTCCTATATACTCCTTTGAAATATCACTCATGCCTAACAAAAAAGTGAAAAAATAGGCATTTTGTAGCAAATAAAACTTAATGGATGTATATTTGATCCTTTTATATAATACACCATTTGAAAGTTAAATCCTTTATCTGTTGCTGCATGTTAAAATATTGGTAACTTTCTATGCCTTTCACTTAGAAAAACATAGTAGAACATAACCACTGAGCCAGTTTTTCGTCATATGAATAGTTTTGTAACAAAAATTAATGAATAGTTCTCTTTAAAAATTGATGTTTCATTTATTTAAATGGGAACTGTAAATGTTTTTACCTGCAGCCATAGACAAATGCATAAGCTTTCAGAAAATGTATTATTTTACTGACTTTGATATCTAATTCGTAAGTTTTATTTGCTACAAGTTTTAAGTTTAGCAAGCATGCATGCATGCTATCTGAACTGGCTAGGAAGTTGCCTATCTATGTCTCTGGATAGACTTAAGAAAACAAAGCCTACAGTTTACGAAATTATTACATGAATTTCTAAAACAGTATTCTTTAATAATACCTATATGAAAGATATATGTTTGATATAGTTTCTAAAGAGTTGATTTCTTGTATGGGGATGGGGATTACGTTGCACCAGCACTGTAATTGTCACATGGCGACTTTTCATATATCCGTATATTATTTTATACATGTACACGAATTTGCACTCCATCTATATATTTTTCTACAGAAGAATACTAAAAACCCATGATGCATTTCTTATTAATATTCACATTAGGGCAAGCTTTTAAGTTATTTCAATATCCTTATTAACCATTGTTTAACGTAAATAAAGAATTTCAATGTATACATTATGATATCTGATTACTTCAAGATATCTCAAGCATCAAGTTAGTTAATCACACATAACCTTACCGTTAAAACATCCATCTTCTACTATTTTATATCCGGGAACACACTCGCACACACCGCCAATTCCACAGTCTTCATTTTTTCCACATTCGTCTTTTGTACTACACTCTGTTCCAACTGCCCCTTCTGAAACGAAAGTAGTATTGTTATAGCATGCTTTTACTATGCGTTTTAAGACCCACTTGTTTACATTGTTAATATTTTTACAAAACCTAGTGACATCTTTCGGAACTTTAAGAAAGAATACATTTGTACATACGTAGTTTTGTTGTATTTTGGGTTTTGTTTTGATTTCTTATTTATTTATTTATCATTTATTTGATTTATTTATTTACAATGTATTTATTTATTTATTTGTGCATGCCATGTCTTTATTGGGATTACAGCTATCTAAACCTTATGACACTGTTTTGTTATGACTGCTGACAAATCTTGTTTTTGACATTGTCAGTCACAACACACAGAAAGAGCAATGGAAAGGCAAAATACATAAATAATTGCAATCCTGCAGTCATTTTGTTTTTATTTTCCACACAACACAGATTAGAGAATGTTTAAAAACGGCAGATTCATTCTAAAAGCTTTTTATTGAAATTTATTTCCCATATTTTCCAGTGATGATCTACATAATATTTTCAATTTTTTTTAGTTTAGGCTTTTTGACCTCAGTGATGTTATTTTAAATCATCTATGAAGAAAACGCAGGAATACTATTCATTAAACCTTACTTAAGTTATTATAATACGATATGTATGTGCTGTCAACAGAAAAAATTCATCTTTCGTTCATCAAAAAATGAAATTTGTATTCTATTCTACAACAGTATAATACCTTATCGTAACCAAAGCGATGAAGAACGTGTGTATAGTCAACTTGAATAGGTTTTACCTACAATGCATCCACAAAACTGATGGTTTCAAATTATATAAATAGTTTACTAAACCTCCTTTCAACAAATTTGATACGTTGTAATAAGAATATTTATACAAAAGAAACTTCTTTTCCATAACAAAACTAACGAAACAGTCTACATAAATCATTCTATGTCGTATAAATATGAACGCATTCAGCATCCATGATGACAGACAGGGTCGTAAAACGCTTAATTAAATCTGGACAACATTGTGATTATGGCGCTTATTAGATATTCAGCATTAAAAAGCAATATAAAAATGTTAATTTGGTAAAAAATGTAATATAAATGAGTTTGTATCATTAGTGTAACACTTGTTTTTGTTTTATAAACCAGACGCCTTACTTTTGCCACTTTAATGAAAGATATAAATAAATCTGTATGTAAAGTTTAAAATACCTAAATACCAGAAATTTATTTGAAGCTATTAACATATACAAGATCAAATTATTTGCATTAATTCACGCATCATAGTCATGATTCCGTCGACACCCACTCACTAGCACGGGCTTAACAGAATTAAGCAGGCGAGTAAGGTATTACACTAGTCATTCCCATCACAATGTCTATGTCAGTTTGCTACTAGCCAATGTGAGTTATTTTAATGCAAATACAAGTGTTCCTTGTTACTTAGAAATGAGTATTGTAACAAAGGTAACAGTAAAATTCTGGGCACGTTGTACATTTTCAAGACAAAACTTGTGGTAAACAAATCTAAAGCACCATTCAGATGTAGTGTTGTTTTTTGCAATTGCACATTTTTATCCATAGAATAAATACTTTTTCTATCGTCGTTCATTTAATAATGAATGTGGGGTTAAGATTTAAAATTAGATACATCTGCAAATGTGCGCGGCGATGTTCATTGAAGTTTACACTTACATGCCATAACAAGTCATAAAAAGCGGCGTATGGTCCCTAAAAAAAGAAATGCTTGCACAAAACGAAAAAGAAAATAATGTGCACAAATAAAAAATGGAATCTTTAAAATGGTCCAGAGATTATGAAGTATGCGTATCACAGATACTTACCAAAAGACACATTTAAAAGGCCAACATGTCCTAAGGCGGTTTAAAGTGACATTATGTCCATACAAGAGTATATTGTGATTGAACAGCTGAATGTCAAAATAAGTTTTCAATTTGCCATAATTCCATTCAATTTATGATTTACTTTGCATAAGCGATACATAACTCATGTGGCCCAAGTAATTTTCTGTAAATATCCATCAAAGTTGAACTGTTATATATACGTTCACTTTATAAAAGGATGGGGCGGACTTTTTACATTTTAGATAGATTAATATTTTATCATAAACATTTTCTAATATCAACTGTTGGTCAATCACCATTATAACAATCTTTTGAAGTCAAATTCAGCTCAACTTGACAATGAAAAAATGAGCATAATGTCACTTTTAGCAGTATTCAATAGGTAAATTTGAACCAACCAAAAACGATTGAATTAATAAAAATACCACAAGCACAATAATACTGTCGTGCTGAAAGATCATCTAAGACTGGAAATAAAACATCTTTGGTCTATAGTCAACTCACCGGAAGCAAAAGATTGTAACAAAATAAGCATGGAGACTAGAACTCCTGTTGAAATATGTCTTGTCATCTTGATTTGTACACCATACCGGAAACACGTTTCTTTTACCGCCAAATCTGAAAAGAAATAAACGGGAATGGAAATTGTATTATATCATTCATAGCTGATTAAACTGATTAAATTTAAATTGATTTTATTTGTCAATTTGTTTTATTAAGTTTACAAATGCTGACTATATAGTTGCTATATAGGTAATGGCTGGTGTTGTAAGCGTTTCTTTTAGTAAAATAATTGGGCTGATTATTTTATGGTAAGACTTGATTAGATTGTGACTGCTTGTATAAATCCCATTAATGGAAATCTTTTCAAGATAACTATGATTCCTACAGACATTAGTCCGCGAATATAGGCGAAAATAAATGTAACGCGAATGAAACTAGGTCTACAATACTTCTTTTTAAACGTTTCTTTCTCATGCCACTTTAACATAAATTATTTACAATGTTTCAATTTGGATTGTTGACATAATATCAAAGTGTCAAGAATTGTTTTACTTTTTAACACAATTAATTCAGCTATGGTTCGTATAAATGTAGGTCTCTGTTCATATTTCAGCTTTTATGATTGACTATGGTAAATTGATTGATAAAATTGTCATGTTAAAATAAAACATTTTTTGTTATATAACATCTCAATTAACATCTTGTTACAGCATATTTATCATTCATAAGCCTTTCATTTTGTTCAAAATAAATAAGGATAACATTCAACAATTCTCAATAATTAAATTTGAAATCTGTTCCTGTTTTCAAAAGATTTTTTTTCTTTTTAAAGACTTGAAATGGTATTTAAAAAAAAAAAAAAAACAGAAAAAGCGGATGCCTCATTGTAGGCGAGCTGAGTGAGTTTTCCTAATCGAAATAATCGCACATTTTTTAATTAAATCTGGAAAAAGATGTAGTGGAGTCTAGTAAAGTAATTATATACGCTGTTCATTTTTGGAAGGTCTAAATAACAGACTTGACTGTATAATATGACACATAAACGATGAATACAAAATCAGTATGATACACGTTTATTATAAATCAACCAGAACTGGATTGTACAATCGCACTGTGACACCCAGTGGAGCCGTACACATAAGCTTTACTAGGGTCAAACAATTTATCTCCGTGTTGAAAAAGAAATAGTTGTGTTAAACATAGATATAAATAGATTCAAATACTTTATCTGAATCACAGTATTTGAAGAATGCTGCTACAATTTATTTATATGCATATACTCTCTGTAAATGTTTAAGGCATGCATTCGCGTGATTGTGGTCAGCATATTTTTTCAAGGTAATATTTCATATATTCGAGTCCTGATAGTCAATGTTACGATACATTATAACTATTTATTCTTATATCAAAATTTTCAAAATCAATATGGTTTATTTTATTGGACAAAAAAGGTATTAACCGACTTGTATAGCCATAGCGGTGGAATAAGGAAGTATTGGTGATAAATATTCAAAGATTCAACGATTTTATAAGATGTCACGACGACTTGTTATCCAAACATTCTGAGAATAAAAAATTATATCTTACTTAACACCAAATACTTTCAAAGTATGAAAAGTCTTAAATATACTCCACTGAAGGTTTTTTTATGATGGAACTTGATTTTTGCTTTTCAAAATTTTATATCCTTTAATAATTTATGTTTATACCAATAACCTGTGTGCAAATTTACAGATCATTCGCTCGCTCAGTTTTATAAAACTATCATTTTTTAATGTGTGAACAGACTTGAAAATAAATAGCATTTAAATGCTCTCAACTCAAATCGGGCGCAATTATAAATCTCGCATAATATCGATTTTCAATTTAATTCTGAGTATATTGCTATATTATCTTTTTTTTATTTTTTCAATAATAAGTGCCCTAGTTGATAATGTGAGATTTTCAAATGTTTTGTTTTTTAAGCTTTTGGACCTCAATGGAGCTTCTTTAATACATGTTAGCACTCATTGTGTAGTAAATTTTGTGGTAATTTGCTGCACAGTAAGTGCTAACATATGGAACAATACAACCAAGGAAGCATTGTATGTTTGTATTGTTATAACGTTTTATCATTTGAGATGTACAAAATTCAAATTTCATCATATAATAATACAAAGAATAATTATAACATCATCTACTGAGATGAAAATGATTGCATCCAATTTGCATATTTTTCTCTGATTTATGGTATGTACTGGCGTATATATTATGAGTCATATAGGTGTATTTGATGAACCGCCTTGAAGACGGGTTGTTTAGGTGTTTTTACGTTCTTTATATTTTACATATTTATGCTAAATTCTTCTTTAAATGAAATGTTGATGTAATAATGTATTTAGCTACTTTTTTCTTATATATTTATACGAAGAAGTTTTCATTAAGAAAAAAATAATTCACTTACAATTAAGATACCTTATACTTTCAACCTAGTTTCTTTTTGTGCCTTTTTATCACAAAATCACAAAAAAATGATTACAAAGGATATAGAGCAATGCTATAAGTATAATTTAAGTCGGAATTATAAATTATGTAGCTTTAGTAATTTTTTAAAATCACAATTATCCGACAGGCCCTGAGGATATGTTTTGTCTTATATTTCAATGTTTCAGTTTACATGGGTACGAGTGCATATCCAGTAATTACGTTAAAATTTGCTTAAACTACATTACAAAGAGTGTACAATCAAACCTCGATATTCTATTAATTATCAGGCCAATGTTTGTAAATCAAAGATAGATATGAAAACGTACGTAACAGTTAGTAAGGTAGATCCGTGTCATATTTTTTGCAAGAAGTTTGTCAGTTGCCTTGGAAATATTAAAGACATTGTCTGAACTACACACCTTTGATAAAGAGTATATTTTCCATCTCAAAATTTATGTTTTCGTCTCTAACTCTTTGTAAGATATAATCTAATTTCATTATGATAAAATATTCTGAAACTAGGAAGATTGCTTAAGGGCAGCAATCACCTATATTATGTTTTGTCTACCAACTGTTTGATTGAGTTCTTGGTAGGATACAAGCTTATCAAAATAGAGAAAAAACGGATTCTTTAGAGAAGGCCCAAAACAGCAATATTTGATTTAGCAATATTTGAGCAAAACTCGATTTGATTTAGCCTATTCATGTCCGGTATTGTTAAATGCAAGGTGCATCCACGCCCCCTAGCACCGGCTTAAGCAGAATTCAAGTTATACACAAAAATAGTGAAGTTTTATATCGACGTCCGATGAGCATTAAGTGTAAGCCGTGTCACGACAAAACCAACATAGTGCGTTAGCGACCAGCATGGATCCAGACCAGCCTGTGCATCCGCGCAGTCTGATCAGGATCCGTGCTGTTCGCTATCAGCTTCTCTACTTGTAATAGAGTTGGTAAGCGTACAGCATGGATCCTGATCTGACTGCGCGGATGCGCAGGCTGGTCTGGATCCATGCTGGTCGCAAACGCACTATGTTGGTTTTGTCGTGACTCGGCTCAAATATTTTTATTCTGGAGTTCTTGAAGAAGGGTTAACCTTCTATATGTAAATAGGACACCAATGCATTTGCTACTTAAACTTGTTCATTTCGGTAATTAAAATTTGTTTTAAATGGATAAAAAAAACATCTTTATCATTTTTATAAGCATAGTTAAAGGTAGCATTTAGAGTTGAATAATGCCGGTTTATTTACTAATTTAAATCGTTTTATAAACGGCATCATAGAATATGAAAAGTTCATACAAAACATTGTATACAAATACATGCTGGTTTAAATGCCGTTCACTTTCAAATAACACTGCAATATTTTAATGTTGTTTTTTTCTCCCATTCATGTTTGAGTTGAATGTTACGGGTATGTAGTTTTAAATGCCACTTTAACTTTTTATTCGTAGTACTTTTTCAAAATAGGTTTTTTTCTCATTAATTCAGAAAAGTTATTGACCCGTGAAATATTTCAATAGATTTTAAAGATATTATACATGTGTAAATATACAAGTTTATGTTGCGTAAAAATAAATACATAAAGTTCAATTTTTTGATACTTTATTTTCACAATTTTGTCTTTGTACCATTTGACACGAGGTAGTGTATCTGTTCAAAAGTGTATTTATAGTATAAATTCATGATATCAACGCCCTGTGAGTTATTTCATCATAAACAACAAAGATAACAATCTATCTAAATAAATAACAACTTATTTATATTTGCAAGTCATTATGCACACATATCATACAACAAAAACATACAATAATAAACCATTTTGTGATGCTACAAACGTTCATTTATTAAAACTATTAAATGCGATAACATATGTGAATTGGGAAATAAAACTGACTCATAAATACTTGAATCACCGTGCATAGAAATCTAAAATACCTCCAGTAAATTTCACTTAAATATTCTAGTGACAGATTTAAAAATTTAAAAAATTAAATCTCTCTTCATTTTTTGTTAATAGGAGTAGATGTATATTTGTTTTGAGTATACATCGGATTGAATAAGATGTATGACGTTCTTACATTTCAAATACATTTCACGCACATATAAAATGCGTTTCATACAATAACAAAGTTCTTACATAAAATCTAACATGTAAAAGATGTCATGAATAGTTAACGCCAAAATTTTCAGTAAAATTAAAAAATGTACATAATTACACAGAACAGAAAATATCTTGACAAAATAATTTGAAAGACTATCACATTGAAATCAATGATACACGAGGTGTTTATGCACGTTCTTTCAGCAAACATACAAACATGAGTGGTATTCGGACATTCTACTGACGTAATCAAAAACGCTTCTAAAACAATTTTTGAAAGACAATGGTTAAAATCTCATCAGACGAAGGACAACGTAAGCGTGTTCATCATGGTTTCAACCTCTATTTCTCATGCATACACCATTCCGTCATTTGCAATATCATATCAAGTGTAAAACAAAATCGACCTCACACAGCGTCACTAAAAGTCAAGTCTTGGAGATTCCACCGGTTTGACTATTTCCGGAAGTACATATCTTCTATACTCTTTCTTTGTGACATCACTTGGTCCAACCACATAGAAAACGTTTCCCATTCTGTCCT